AATCAACATTAGCTTAATCAAATTAGAAAATTTGTTAATGTTCAAAATATGAAAAAAAAAACTATCATAGCTCATCAATACTTTATTTAAGAGACTTAATTACAAACTATCATAAAAATGTTGTAAATACGTTTCAATGCCCGTGCCTTTGATTTCTCAACAAACTCATCATACACTTTCTCATGAACAAATGTCCGAGACCCCGCGCAGCAAGATTGTCCCTACAAAAACATTACTCAACACTATCTCCAGAACCAGCTAAGAAAATGAGTCAGCTTAGCTCAAGGTATATATTCTACTATTGACAATACATGGTTGAAGAAGAGGGCAAAGTGTGCAATACGGCCTTATCAATATCAGCATCTTCGAATACGATGAATGGTGATTTCCCTCCAAGTTCCAGAGTTACCGGCTTAAGATTGCTGTTGGCAGCCAATCCAAGTATAACTTTGACTGTATCAGTCGATCCTGTAAAAGCAAGCTGAATCAAAAAAGAACAATGTAAGATAATATAGTTTCTTAAAGAAGTTAAAACCAAGTAAACAAATATCTCTACCTTGTCTACATCCATGTGACTCGCGAGGGCATCCCTTCTGTTGCACCGAATCCAGAAACTATATTCAGAACACCAGGAGGAAGACCAGCCTATCATAAATTTCACAAGAAACATTGTTACTCATAAAAGTTTTCTTTTCCTAGAGAAGAAAATAAGATAATTTATCGCATGTATCTTACTTCAAGTAAAAGCTTGCCAGCATAGAAAGCCGTGAGAGGTGTTTGCTCAGCGGTTTTAAGGACAGTGGTGTTACCACAAGCAAGAGTAGGACCAACTTTCCAAGCAAACATCAAAAGCGGAAAATTCCCAGGAATGATCTGTCCAGCTACACCTATGGGTTCATGCAATGTTTGAACATGATAGTTTCCATCAGCTGGAACTGTTAGTCCATGAATCTTATCCGCCCATCCTACACATCAAAGCAAAACCAAGAATATTCATTCACAGAAATTAACACAAAAGCAAGAAAATTTCACCAGAATTCTCAAGATTTAAGTTCGTTTTATGATACCAGCATAGTAACGGAACAATCTTGCAAACATTGGAATCTCTACGGTCTTGGATTGTTGGTAAGGCTTGCCATTGTCCCAAGTCTCTAGAGACGCGAGTTCTTCGCTGTGTTTCTCAACCAAATCTACAAACTTAACATTACTCTTGACCTTTCCTGAAACCCAAATCATAACCAAATCATCTGCACAAGACATCAAATATTTAGTATAGTTACGAATAATAAAACATGAAAGTTCATATAAACATAAACAAAAACGTAATCATTACCATTTATATTGTTTCAAAAAAAGAGAGATAATTATGTTGTCATGAGGAAAAAGGATTGATAGCTAGAAAAGCTTCAAAATATCTGGCATCTGTACAAAACCAAAACACGGAAATTTCAGAGTTCATTTTTTGTATGTATATATAATCAAAGATCACATAAAACGTTCTCAGAGTTTCCTTACTTTCTTTCTCTCTCGGTGTGAAAATGTCTGAAGATGTTGTTCAACAGCCCTGGGACAAAGATTCTTAACACTTGGGATATAAAGAACAAAATCAATAATAAGTTTGAGTTAAGAAACGTCACATACTTGACAGCTTTGGTAATGACATCAAAAGGGTCGGAGCCAACAGCCACAAAAACCAAATGACTCCCCTCGAATTGGTCAACAGTTGGCTCACCTTGACCATACAAACCATAAATCTCAGAGATAATCTAACAAAAATTTTAAACTAATTAGTGGATTATATATATTTACAGCTTTCAAGACAAATCTCTAGCTCATTAGCCTCGTTCCCTTGAAGAACAGCTCTAAAATCTCCTTCAAGTATAGGCAAGAATACAACGTACGAAGAAGATTGATCTCCTCCTCATAAATCAGATCCTTGGTTTGCCTCTACGATTAGAAACTGAGTCTCGCAAGGAATCACTTTCCCATTAGTACCCATTCTGAGTTATCCACCATAATTTAACCTGGAAGACACACATAAACCTTAAGTCTCTGCCAAGAAAAAAAAACATTTAAAACCTAAGCGTCAAGTAATTATTCAACAAATTATGTGAAATTTAACAACAGGATGTGTATGAAAGGGAAAAAAACATTACTCGAGTTTGCTTAGGGAGAAGACACGGTGGCTTCCGGTTTGATCCGACGTGACGCCGATGAACGCGCCGTCGATTAACGCGTTTCCTGAAGCTGGAGTAACTAAAACATTCTCCAGAACGCCGTGAAGAACACGGTGACCTATCACCAGCACATACGTGCGGATCTGATATTTTATAACTAAAAAAATGAAATTTTAAGTTGTTTTGGGATCTGATATAACCGTAGAAGACGTAGATGATAACTCTATTTATAGTGGTTTAAGATGTAGATTTCCATATGTGTTAATTAGTGACGGAAATCTTGCACAAGAAGTATAATATCTCTGTAACAATAGCATATATAGAATAAAATCCCGGATTTATTATAGATGCAAGAAATATGCCATTGATTAAGAATTTGATAGTAATAATTAGTTGAGTCAGAAGATATTAGTTGAGATCAAATATATATTTTTTAGATTATATGAATTATAGATAAGGAAATACCAATAATCTCGGATATATATATAGAGTAAATGAGTAATTAGTTTAGATTGTGCAAATATTCGTAACAATTAGATATTATAAGGATTGTTGCCGATTAATGTGGCAAATAATTTAGGGAATATCATTAAACCGAATTGTTAGAGTAGTTATAGTCAAAATATTCGTTTGTTTTTATTACAACATTCCTAAAAATCCTTATCCAAGATCCGAATATAGTTAATCCCGGATAAAACCCGGATCCAAAAGACTTTTTGCAAAAATCCCCTGTAAAAATGTATATGTAGATGCAGAGTAATCAGAAATTTTCATTTCTCATCCCTAATCAATCTCGACCTTCTAACTGTTTATGTTTTTTTTTTTAAGTTTCTCATTTCTATGCAAATTTAAAATTATTTGATATTTTGCAATAAATTTTGTTACGCAGTATATTTATAATTTGTTGGATTTTATTTAATTAAATAGTAATGATTTATTTTTTAAAACGGTTGGAGTATTAATTAGTTTCAAATGTTTAAAAATATATTAGTAGGAGTATTTGTAGTCTCACTCATGAGGTTACAAATCGACCAAACAAAAGGCATCATGCTGATGTTTAACATCAAAAACTACAAATAAAACGACTTTGAAATCGGTTTCGATTTCAGTTCAGTTAATTTGATGCAATTCCGATTTTATATGGTTTGGTTTTCAGTTTTAATTTAGATCAAATGGATCGAACTAACATATATACATGAAGCAATAACTAGAGAGTGAAGGAAATAAAAAGGTGGAGAAGATATGTATACAAGCTCTTCATCAACATTCTTCCCACAATATCAAATAGCCCTTTAACAAAAACAAAAAAAAAAGCATTCTTGTATGAGAGGCATTGTAAGAGTGAATGAGTGGCTAATGTGATTTGCATAATTTTAGTGAAATCTTGTAAAATTTCTGTAATGGAATAATAACTTCAAAAGACACGTAAGAAAGTAGGAAATATTAAAGTCATGACTTACTTTAATCATCGGAATTTACTCATTTCCCATGAATATTTGAAATTTTACTCATAGTCAAGATTCTCATTCTTTGTGGTTATATTAATTTAACTCTATACTAATTGATTAAGTACTTGTTAATTTGCCAACGTGTATGTGTCTCGAGTTTGGACCACACTCATGACTTGCTTACAAATTTGAAACGACTCATTATATTATCAAAATAAAAGTAGAATTAGGAAGAATACCAAGTACTAACCAAATTGATAATCAGGTTTTAAGGTAGCTTCGACATCTCACGTCTAGAGATTTGAAGTTATATATAGTTGAGTGACTTAAAAAATAAAAATAGAAATATTAAAGTTTATTACGTGTTCCACAATGAGGATGGAAATTTCTTTTTGTTTGGAACACACTCGTGACTCACACTTAGTCGCATTTGAAATTACTTATTTCCTATAAATATTTGAAGTTGTATTCATAGTCAAGATGCTTTCTCTTTGTGGTTTCCTTAATTTAACTCTATATTAGTTATGGGATTCATAGTTGTTAGTAAGTTGCTTTATGTGTATGTATTCTTTGAGTTTGGACCACACTAATGCCCCAATTAGAAATTTGAAGCGACTAAGTTTTCCTAAGTACCTTACTACCTTAGTTATACTTTTTATTTCACTTTTAGTCATTTGAAACTACTCATCCCACATAAAATATCTTGTGGGCGTACTCATAGTTTTTTTTTTCTTTTTGATTTCCTCAATGTAAATCTATAATAATTACGGAATATATATATAGCTATTATAAGTTTGTCAAAATGTGTATACCAAATAAAGTAAAACTATTAAGTAAACATTCATTGTGTAGATGCATGCCCTACAAAATAGTAATTTAGAAAATGAATTATATTATTTGTTTTTAATCCAACATTAGTCTACGTGTAAAATACTAAAATCTCTACTAGTTATGAGATTTATAGATATTGTCATTTTCCAAATATGTATAGTTGTTTAGCAATTAATTAAACTAAAACAAAACAAATAATATGAAATATATTATTGGTTTCCAGCTGCAGTATATCATAAGTTCAATTTCCTTTTTATCATTTCATATAGAATTAGAAATTAGAAAGAAAACAGTAAAACCTAGGTGTGGTTGCACATATTGATATTAATTAGTGACCAACCAATATATTTGACATTTTGATTTAGTGAAATAGAGAAATTCTCTCTCACATCATGTGTTTGCTTTTTTGGGTGTATAAATACACATTGTCCCTCGCATATTTTCACCATCACTGGTTTTCCGAAACTCTTCTCAAAATATAGAACAAAAATCTGCTGAGTATAAAAAAAAAGAACTAGTCAAGTTCTTCTCATCAAAAGATGGCGGCTTCTGGTATATGTCTTGTTTCCTTCTTGATTTTCCATGTTATGTTAGTTTATTGCTTCTTCTTCTTTTCTAGTTGTTATATATTGTGAGGTTATGTTTTCTCAGATATTCACATCACTCTTTGGTGTGTTTTTTGCACATTGATCTCCTTTTCTTTCTCTTCCATATCCCATCAATGTAGTGTGCAACTCTGAAATTTTCGGATGAATATATAAAAGATATCTCTTATTATATTTTTCTTCTCTTTTTGTAGTTTTTATTAAGTTATGGGGCTACTACTCTCAAACAATTTTGTTTGGTTAATGACGCTGTTTTATGGTAAAATCTTTGCAGGTAGTAGAAACAGAGGAGATGTACTTGATTCTGTTGTGCAACCTAAAGGAGAGCATAGGGTCACTATAGTATGGCTGCATGATAAGGATGAGCATTTCACTGAGTAACGTTTATATTTTGTTTTGTTTTGTTACATATCTTTCATTTCTTCTAGTCCAAGTTAATTATGCAAAAAAAAAATTCGTCTCACATGAACGGAATATTTTGTGTTTTGTAAATTAATGAAACTTTATCTTCGCTTCTTAATTAGCTTTTATTTTTTATTTGTATTTTCGTTGCTTTCTTATATTATGTTTATATTCTTTTTGCAGTTCAGTTCAGTTTGTGAAAAAATTGAATCGTAAAAACGTAAGTATATATCCATGAACATTTTCTGTTAAAACCCACTAATAGCTATTAATTTTGTTAACAACGTGAATAATTATTTTACATACAGGTCAAATGGATATGTCCATCTCTCGTGTTCCCAGATTCATGTGAGATAAATTAGCTTATACTCAGTTTTCTTGTAAACATTATTTGATGTCACCAAATTATATATTATTAGGATATGTAAACAGCTAAACTGGTGGTACATTCCTCTTTGATGAATCAGGGAACAAACCCGGATATAAAATCAACCAATATGTTCGAGAGGCTTTATATCCCACAGCTGAACTTGTTAATAAACTTTCCTTGGAAGAACCAGAAAATGGTAATTAATGTAGACCCATAATTATTAGGGACTTTAACAAAAATAAAAAAATGGCCTTAACAATCTTCTATATATATATATATATATATATATATATATATATATATATATATATATATATATATATATATATATATAAATATACTTCACATATATCTATTAATACTCAAATCACTAAAATTTGTTTTATATATAGTCATAAAAGGAGTGGGTGGTTTTGGCATGGGTGCAGCAGTAGCTCTCCACTTTGCAACAAGTTGTGCTCTTAACCATTATCCTATAAATCCTCGAGTTGTTGTTGCAATCAGCGGGTGGCTTGCTAAGGCATGGTATATACTCAAATAATTTCTTAAAACTAATTTCACATCTCATTGAATGATGAAAGAGTACTAATTCCTCAACCTTGCAGGTCCGTAAAAAACAGCATAGAATTTTATACACTTGTTGCTAAATCTCGTGCTGCATTGCAGTCAATCTTTCTTACGCATGGAATAGGTAAATCCATGTATTTATTTTCCTCTTTAGATAATGATCAGAGGCAATGCTAAATCTTTATGATAATATGTGTGGCAGACGATCCTGTAGTTCCTCACTCATGTAGCTGTGGAGAAGAAGCTGCTGCGTCCCTTATAAATGCTGGATTTGGAGAGGTCAGGTTCCTACCATTAGCAAGGTATATAAACATCAGTTATTTTGCTCTATATACCATTTTTGGTTTGAACATTTTGTGTCTAATAAGTTTATTGGGTTATATATGACAATGTGACTTAGGTTTGGACCGACTGCTCATGAGATCAATCGCAGCGAAATGGTCAAAAGCTGGTTGGAAGAGAAGCTCCCGCTCGCGTGATGATGTGCACCCAAAACAATGTCTACCATAAAGACGTTCCTCTATCTAGTGACTAGTGATTTACTATCGTCGTTTGTTTTATTTGTCATGAAATAAAATTAGCGTGACTACTAAGTTATTGGTTTTTCAGACGTTATGGTATATACGTAGTTTGTTTTTTCTTCTTGATCTTTTCAAGTTGGTACTATCAAGTTGTGGCAACCTTTTGTTTATAGGAATTAATTATGTTACGTTCTTTTTATAAGTGAAAATGACTAATATTGGAATTAAGCATAGATATAAATTGATAAACCAATATTTGGTAATGAAATATGTGATTAGATGATATATATTACGTATATACAGTTTAGTTTTTAATATATTTCCTTTCTCTATACAAACTAATTGACCCATTTACCATGTTAATTAATATAATTCGAACTAGCTAGCATATTAGAATCAGAAAGATATTATCAAAAGGAAAGTAGACTTAGGAAGAAATTAATTAGGTATATGGTTGCAGATTAATCTTCTTTTTTTTTTTGCAAATAATTTTATTGTTTTTCCTTATTCTTCACTTTTTCAGTTGGTGTTATTAAGTCGTGGTAACCATTTTTAAGATAGCAAAAACAAAAAAAAAGGTATAAATAAAGCATTTAGTTTTTCAAACATAAGAGTAATTTAGGAAGACAAATATGGAACGTTAATTATTTAGTACACCAATTTGATAATGTGACCAATGAACATCTTGACCTTTAATTTTGATCCTTCTAGCCGTGTGCATATTGTTGCTTGCGTTTGTTCAGCTTCTAGAAACACCAAACTCAACATCTATACTATATAAAAGTCGAGGCTATAAGCTCCTGAGGCCGTCCACCTAGGATTTTAAACGACCAATTGTGGTTAGCCACTTCATCAGTTAACATTTTTATAGACCACGTTAATTAACATTTTTTGAAACTTTCTATATTAAAATAGTATTAATAAAAGAAAGAGAAAACAAAATATAAGGAAATAAAATAAATATAACCTTTAAAATATGGAATCTATGTAACTACCCATCGTGAATAGCCACTTCGTCGGTTAACATTTTTATTGACCACATTAATTAACTTTTTTTAAAAAACTTTTTATATGAAAATATTATTAATAAAAGAAAAAAGAAAACAAAATATATGGAAATAAAATAAATATAACCTTAAAAAATATGGAATCTATGTAATTATAATTATGTAATCTTAAGCTCAATCCCATAAAATTTATATTTTTAAAAATGGTAATTTTATTAGTGTGTTTCTGTTTTCCCTTGGATAACGGTTTGGTTTTGATGAATAGCCACTCCAAAGCTCCGGTTAATTTGAGTCTCATTGCGAGATTATCTCACCAAATTATATATGTTTATATGATCCTGAGAATATATGTTAAATTCCCAAAACAATTAAATGTTAAATCATCCATATATGTTAATCATTCAAAGATATTTTATAGAAACCCTGAAAATATGTTAATCATAGTTTTAGTTTAAATGAAAGGAAAAATCCTATTAAAAGATGGGGAAAAATAGAACTAAAACACAAAGAAAAATAAGTTAATGATAATTCAAGAAACTTTTAGTCCACAGTTTCTATTTTTCAGTAAAAAGAAGAATAGAAAAGTTTCTAAATTCTAAAATTAGTGGTTTATGTATAAATAGTAATCTAAAACTGATGATGGAACATAGAAACTTCAAATAACGTTTTAGTTCATTGAGAGATCAAAAGAGCTCATTAATTAAGATGGCACATGCAGCTTCTTCCCCTTCCGCTCAACTACTTCCCTCTCCTTGGTTTTCGATGAGTTGGCAAAAGGATTTTTTTTTTTTTGAATGTAATGTTAAATTATATTCAAAGAAAAAATATCGTTTTTACAACTAGTGCAACGTTTGATTGAGTTTAGAAATATCGAAATCTAAAGGCCAAAGAGTTTAAATTCTTGCTTCGAACCACAATTGCAGTCCCTTGTCGTAGCGTCGATCACCCGCCAGTTTGATAGATGAAAGAGCATTCCGCATTTGCTTGTCGATCCATTTGATTAGTCGTGTAGGCGGGTTTGGAGATTCACCATGTCGTCTTCCATTTCGCTCTCGCCATATTGTATAAACTGATGCTTGTAGGATGTATCGAGCCAAGAAGCTCTCAGCCCTGTTTTGTTGAAGACCCGAGATGTAGGTAATGAGAGTGTTCCAATCCGTGGTGTACCTTACTTTGAAGACATTCGTTGCTAGAGCAGACCAAATCGCTGAGCTATAGGTACAAGTGAAGAACAGATGGTCTCTAGTTTCCCGCTGATCACAGAACACGCAAGTCACCGGAGCCCATATGTTCCACTTTTCAATTTTATCACCCGTTGATAATCTGTTCAGAACTGCTAACCAAACGCAGAAAGAGAATTTCGGAGTAGCATGAGGGAACCAAATTCCTTTGTGCCATGCTACTTCAAGTGATCTTTTCCTGACATGATTCCACGTTTCTTTTGTTGAGAACAGATCCTTGAATGTGTCATTTTTTCCTCTCCATAACACTATATCTGATTCACTTGTTCGATTCACCTTTGCATTCTCTAAGGCATTTTCTATTTGATTCAATGCGGCTGTGCGGTGACGTCTTCGTCTATGTGCAGACCATGCATCGGCGACTGATAGGCTGCGGCTTATTCCAAGGTCTATTACGCCTCTCTCCCCTGTGACCTCCAAGATTCGTCCTAGTCCCGACCAGTCGTCATACCAAAAAGAGGTGGCTTGTCCATTTCTTACTTCCATCTTACAAAATGTTTTTGCCACATCTCTATACTTTAGCAACTTTTTCCATATCCATGACCCCAAAACAGAGTTACTCTTCAAAGACCATAGAGATTGATTCCTTAGTAGGTTCTGTTCGGTCCATTTTACCCATAGCGAACTGCTGCGGGAAAGAATTCTCCAAATCAATTTCAAACAGCATACCTCATTCGCTTCTCGAAGTGAACGCAGTCCCAGTCCGCCCTCTTCTTTCGGTTTGCAAACATCATCCCAAGAGACTTTCGCCTTCTTTGAGCTCAGCTCTATACCAGACCAAAGAAAAGCTGAACACATTTTATCAATTTCTCTGATACATTCTCGCGGTAGCCTGAATGCAGCAAGCCAGAAGTTGCAAATACTCCAAAGAACTGAACTTATTAGATTTAATCTTCCCGCAAAGGAGAGAAAACGTGACGTCCACGAATCAATTTTCTTGCGAATTTGCTCGAGTAAAGGGAGGTAATCTGAGGAGCTAAACCGCTTTGTAACCAATGGTAGTCCCAAGTACCGAACTGGGAGCTGTCCGATCTCAAACGGGAAGTTTTGCTCTATCTCTTGGTATATTGGCCCTTGGATGCCTGCCAAATATATTGTCGACTTCTCCATGCTAATCTTTAAACCGGATATTTTAGCAAAATCGTCTAGCACCTTAACGATTCCTTCGATAGACCGAACCTTACCATCAGAGAGAATCATTAGATCATCCGCAAAACTCAAGTGAGTTAACCCCAGAGACTTACACTTCGGGTGGAAACCAAACTTTTTGGCACCAGCAGCTTTATCCAGCATTTTTGAGAGGACTTCCATACTAATGACAAATAAGTATGGAGACAAAGAACAGCCTTGTCTTAACCCTCTCGCACTTTGGAAATAACCAACCAATTCACCATTTACTTGTACCGAGAATGAAGCTGTAGTGACACAAAGAGTAACCCAATGAATGAATTCCGGAGGAAAGTTCATGGCTAAGAGAACATTTGTGAGGAAACTCCATTGGACCGAATCAAAAGCCTTAGAAATATCTATCTTGAGAGCACAACGGCTTGAGATTGAATCTTTATGGTAGTCCTTTACTAATTCCGTCGCCAACAACACATTCTCGATTAAGAGCCGATCCTTTACGAAAGCGGATTGGTTTCCCGCAATGAATTTGGGAAGCACCAATTTGAGCCTGTTTGCAATTATTTTTGAGATGACTTTATATAGAACATTGCAACATGAGATGGGTCTATAGTCTTTCATCTCTTTCGCCTCCTTGCGTTTGGGGATGAGAGCTAGAATCGTAGAATTTATGCCCTTAGGTAAGAAACCTTTTTGAAAGAAAGATTGGACTGCCAAAGTGAACTCATCACCTATTATGTCCCAAGCTCCCTTATAAAATTCTGAAGTAAAACCATCCGGACCCGGGGATTTGTCGTTTGGCATCAAGAACAGAACCTTCTTTATCTCCTCTGCCGAAACAGAACAGGTAAGCATCTCTTTATCAGACGTGGTGCAACGGTATGGTAGGAGATCCCGGAGCTCTGCCACTGTTATTCCCTCAAAATCATTCGGTATCAACTGTAGGAACTCTCTAAAAAACCTCTCTGCCTCTATTTTTATCTCTTCTGCGTTTGATGTCACTCTCCCTCATATTAAGATACTCCGCTTAACTACTTCCCTCATAGGGTATGCTGTATGAACGTTTCATTGAGGCATTGTTACATGGTCGATCTTCATTAATGCAGACAAATAATGGATGTTAGGGCGTCATCGTATTTTGCTTACACAAAGAAAATAGTTTGTTTTCTTTGAGTTCTAATGGAGTAACTAAGAATAACCTTTGTTGGTTTGGTAATTACAAAAAGACCAGTTGTTGCATCACAATTACTTTATCCTACGTGGGTTATGTACATAGTGCTGGAAGTTTGATAAATCGACTTTGATTGATATATTAAAAGATGTTATCGTTTTTAAAAATGGTACCTTATACGAAGGAGCGTCTTATAATAGCTCTTAAAGAAAAAGCCCACATGTAGTTGCGATAAAAATTGGTAACTGGAGTGTCTCTAAAAGAACAGTTTGATAAAATATGATTATGAAAGTTATACCGAATTATGAGATATTTTTAGAACTCGAAAATCTAAAGGTGATGGTAACTGGTAACACCACATGTTAGTCATCTTCTAGAGACATGGAATGAATATCTTTGTCAAGAAATTTTGCCATTGGATATAATTTCCACTAAATTTTGATAATTCTAAAAGAAAATAATAAAACATAGCAAATTGCCAAATTCATCACCTTTAGATTTTTGATTTCTAAAAATATCTTTCTCTAACCAATAGTACGTAAATCGTTTTCAGAATGGGAAAAAACCCGAAAAAACCGCCATCTATTTTTTTTTTGCCGTTTAATACCTGTGTTTTTAAATTTGGAATAAAAATACCTCATTTAATTTCGATTGCCTTTTAAAACTATCGTTTTTTTAAAATTGGTAATTTCGAACCCGACACTTAACAGTCGTTACTGGGCGTAACAGAATTATTTAACGGCGTTAAATTTTAACCGGCAAAAAACCCGAAAAAATCGCCATCTATTTTTTTTGGCCGTTTAATACCTGCGTTTTTAAATTTGGAATAAAAATACTTCATTTCATTTCGATTGTCTTTTAAAACTATCGTTTGTAAAAACTTGGTAATTTCGAACCCAAAACTTAACAGTCGTCACTGGAAGTAACGGAATTATTTAACAGCGTTAAATTTTAACCCCACGTATTTATATAAATATATACTATCTGTTTGCAAAACTTTATGTGATAGTTAATGTGGCTTGGCGGTTGCATGTCAGTTTTGTAAACCTCAGGAGCTGGGTTCGACTCTTCAAGACTTCAACCTCATTTTTTTTATTAATTTATTTTTTTGTTCTTCGTCTTTTTCGCCAGTGGTGACGACGACTTCTTCTCAGATCTCTGATGATGCAAACTGGTCTCTCTCTCTTTCTCTTCTTCACTCGAATCTCTTTTTGATAATGGGTTTTTGCCGTGATTCATCCCATTTATGTATAGATCTGATCTGATTGATGTCGATTTAGTTGCTGTTCTTTTTCAATGGTAGATCTAATTTCAGAATCATTAGCTCAGCTCTAGATCGATTTGTTGAAATCGCTCTATGATTCATCTTTTGTTTACATTTCGAGTCTTAACTTTGTACTGATGGGAAGTTATTCGAAGTGGAGAACAAAGGAAAAAAAAACAGGTTTGAGATTCAAACCCGAATCTGGTAGTTTAGGAAAAGACACACGCTACCACCAAGCCACATTGACATTCTTGTAATGTGTTGTGAGCAGTTTGTATATATTTATATAAACACGTGGGGTTAAAATTTAACACTGTTAAATAATTCCGTTACGTCCAGTGACGACTGTTAAGTTTCGAAATTACCAAGTTTTTAAAAACGATAGTTTTAAAAGACAATCGAAATTAAATGAGGTATTTTTATTCCAAATTTAAAAACACAGGTATTAAACGGCCAAAAAATAGATGGCGGTTTTTTCGGGTTTTTAGCCGGTTAAAATTTAACGCCGTTAAATAATTCTGTTACGCCCAGTAACGACTGTTAAGTGTCGGGTTTGAAATTACCAAGTTTTAAAAAACGATAGTTTTAAAAGATAATCGAAATTAAATGAGATATTTTTATTCCAAATTTAAAAACACAGGTATTAAACGGCCAAAAAAAATAGATGACGGTTTTTTCGGGTTTTTTCCCTTTTAAGAATACTCATATATTTACTTTTTTGATTATATAAAAATACTCTTACATAAATGAGAGAATCCTAAAATCATCTTCAATTTACGTCAAAACCAAAATGGTGTTGTGGTTAGAGATGGTCTAATAAAAAAAATATTTTCCTATGATTTTGTTTCAATTAGTAAACAAATTCTAAAATAAATGAAAATACTACTCTTTTTTTCTTTCAACTAGGTTATTAAAACGGCTATCATGATTAACCATCACGACTAACCATTTTTAAGGAAAAAATATAAAATCTAACTATTGTAAATAAATTATATTCATTGTCTCCAAAAAAAAAAAAATTATATTCATTTTTTAAAACGACAGTTTTTAGTTATATATAAAACTAATATAATTTAAATTTTTTCTGCCAAGCCTCTAATATGTTTGAAATTCTATGTTTTTGCATTAAAAACAGAAAATTTTCTAGGCTTTTAAAATAGCACTGACTAAATTTGCCAATATCCCCACTTAATCACAATTAGGAGTCGGCATTTTGGTTAGATTTCGAGTTAAATTTGATTCGGTTATTTCTATCTTAAAACACATTAAATCTCTAACCAAACTCACTTCGCTTTGGTTCAATTTGGTTTGGCTTAGTTTTGTTGGGCTTGATAAGGTTGTTATTTAAAAAAATTATTTATAAAATTGAAAGAATGACAATAAATTGAAGCAAAAAAAGTAAAAAAATTATTTCTGGGATAAAAAATAATAATCATATTAGTATCGCTGAATAGAATAATTAATCAAGATGTAGGTAAATAAATTTCAAAAAAAGTATACAAGCAAGAGGTACGTCATCATCTAGGTTGGATATTCAAATATTAAAATTATTTTAATTAATCACAATTTTTTTCAAGTCACTTTTATATAATTGAGTAGAAATGAGTGAGTGAATTAATTGGTAAAATAGGAAACATAAATCAATGGTTAAGTTGTATGTGCATTATCTAGGTTTCTGATAATATTACATTATCGAAACAAACAAAAAAACTAATATTTCTTCTCTTAATTGTGAAATAAATATGTTAACTTTAACAAACATGTTAAAACTGCAACAATGATTTCTTATGATGTGAAAAACGTATATTGGTTGTTGTAGTTTAAAATCTTACAAATTTATTTTCTAAGTTGGGAGAGATGGGGAAACCTAAGTTCTTAAAAATTTTGAACAAAAGAAAGAACATATTATCACTTTGTGCCACCTAAACATTTTGTTAGAAAATATATTAGAAAATTTTTATTATGTACGATAATATAATAAAAATAAAATTAAAAATGTAAAAACGCGTGTTGACGGTTGTTTTAAAAATCTTACAAATTTATTTTCCAAGTTGATAAAATTGAGGAAAGATAAGTTTTTTTTAAAAAAATGAATAAAACAAATAACATCTTATCACTTGGTGCCACCTAAACAAAAGATTTTTGTTAGAAAACATATTGAAACAATTTTATTCTGTAAGATAATATAATTGCAAATAAAATCAAAAAGTTTTTTGAGCAAACACCAAATAAATGAAATATAATATTTTAGTAACTAATATTAGTGGTTATATAATTTTCATCAAAATATATAAAATAAATACACACGTAGCAAATATGTTAAAATATATTACTCTAAAACAGTTTGATGAATAACAAACAATTTACTAATAGATAAAAGAAACTCAGTAAGCCCAAACGTGTACATATTTTGGTAATTTATTTTCTAATATTTTGTCAAAATATTTTTATAATTGCTTCACTAATAGAAAAATCATTTTACTATAAAAAAAAAAGTCAGAGAATGACAGATTTTATTTTTTATACATTTCATACTAAAAGTTTTCTTATAAACTTTTCCTTTCTTATTAATACAAATTTTATACAACATAAATGATAGTAAAAATAGAATAAAATAAAATACATTTATGTGAAAAACAATAAAAAAAATTTTTGAGTAATTTTGCATTACTAATGTCAATGTGTAACTACTTACATGATTGTTAAGCCCAAAATTATATTTAAACAATCGCTAAATATAAACCCCCGCGTAGCGGGGGTTAATAACCTAGTTATATTTGCAAGTTATTCCTCCAAGCTTCTGTCTATGAGATTTGGAAGAAAAAAAGAACTCTATATGCATATTACGTGTGTACAATTTAGCTTTATATATTAATTGTTTAATTTCCTTTCTCTATACAAAATTTTAATTCAATAATTTACCATGTTAATTAATAGAACTAGAACTAGATTAAGAATCAGAAAGAAAGTATCAAAAGGAAAGTAGAATTAGGAAGAAATAAGCCATTGGGTATATGGTTGCAGATTAATCTATTGTTTGCAAATAAACATTTTTATTGTTTTTCCTTCTTGTTTTTTTTTTCACTTTTTCTGTTGGTGTGATCAAGTTAATTGTGGTAAGTGGTAACCTTTTTCAAAATAGCAAAAAAGAAAGGTGGAAAATAAAGTAGTTTGTTTATGTCAAGCGACTTATTTCAAACATAAGAGAAGCATATTAAACATGGAACGTAAATTAGTACACCAATTTGGTAATGAGAAAATGTGATTGATTACGTATACTATTTAACATTTTTGTTCAATTCCCTTGTATGCAAAATTTAGGTCAATGAGTTTACCATTTAGGTCAAGGTATTGATAATTTCGTTTTAACATTGAAACATCTTTCATTGGTTTCCTTTGATGGGCTTTGGTTTTTCACATATTCAAGAATATTATTTGTATACCTAAATATGGGCTTTGGTTTTCACTTAAAGCCCAACACAATTCAAACGAGAGCACTTAATAAAAGCTCCTTCGATTTCATAACGGTTACTAAATTCCTCCTCTATAGTATATACGCTTTGCTTTAGTCACTGCTTTCTCAGAATCCCAATTTTTTTTTTCTTTGGAGAGATACCAAATTTCTCCCAAGGCCATCATCGCAAGGTATTGTTTGTTTTTTTCGTTTCTTTGAATTATTTAGAGTTTCTCTCTGTCGAATTTGTGTTTGTTACATACCAAAAAATCTCCTTTTTCTAGATTAAAAAATCTCCGATTTGATTTTTTTTATCAAGCAAATCCAAAAGCTCTCGTCTTTTTCAATTGCGTTATTACAATCTTTAGGGAGATTCGTTTCTCTTTTATGATTATACGTTTTAAATTAGGGTTTCAATTTTATTTTGTCTCTGCAAACCAAAAGCTTAATTTTTCAATTGCGTTTTTACGATCTTAGGGTTGTTAATTACAAAGATTCGTTTCTCTTTTATGATTGTTACGTTTTAAATCAGGGTTTCAATTTTAATGTTTCTGCAAATCGAAGCCCTAATTTTTCAAGTGCATAGTTTCGACAAATTTGTTATTTCGCAAACCCAAAAGCCTTTCTTTAAATTTCACGATTTTGTTTTGAAAGATTCTGGCTTTTGTTTGGGTTCATGTTTCTAAAGATTTGTTTTCAGTTTTCTGAAACAGAAACCCTAAAATCAATGATTTTCTTTTAAAAGCAACGAATTTGTTTAAAGTTTTAAGCTTTCTTAACCCCAAAAGAAAGGGACGACACATTACATGATTGTGTTATGTCCGGTTTCTAAATTGGGAAAATTGTCCCGATGTTGTTGCCTCCTAAGTAAAGACTTGTCAAATTGTTCTTAAGTAAAGACTTGCTGGCTGGGCAGCATGATATATCGACTTCAATAATCTGCATAGACCTGTCTTTTTTAAGGCTTGTCTAATAATGATGTCCCAAGATTGATAAATTCAAATCAATGATCTGCTTAAGTTCTATATCTTCTTGAGCTGGGATATCTTTATCAATGATCTGCTTATTGATGGAGGGATAAGGAGATAAATATTCTTTGATAAGGATTGTCTAATAATGACAAATTCAATGATCTGCTAAAGCTCTATATCTTCTTGAGCTGGGATATCTTAATCAATGATCTGCTTAAGCTCTATATCTTGTTGAGCTGGGTTATCTTTATATAAGATTCAATAATCTGCTTATTGACGAGGGAAATGGAGATTAATGTTCTTTAATAAAGCTTGTTTGCATAACCAAAGTTCATACTGGGCTGGGACAGTGTGGTTAAGTACGGAGATCTCTCAAATTTCTGCATAGATCTGCCTTGACAGGAGGTAAGTGTTCTTTATTGAGGCTTATCTAATATCGATGGTCTGAGATTGAAAAATTCAATACTCTGCTTTAAATACTCAAGAATCTGCATATTTGATAGGAGATAAGTGTTCTTTATTGAGGCTAGTTTAATAACGATGGCCTGAGATTGAAAACTTCAATTCTCTGCTTCAAATACTCAAAAATCAGCATATTCATAGGAGGTAATGTTCTTTATTGAGGCTTGTCTAATAACGATGGCCTGAGATTAAAAACTTCAAATACTCAAGAATCTGCATATTCATAGGAGGTAATGTTCTTTATTGAGGCTTGTCTAATAACGATGGCCTGAGATTGAAAACTTCAATACTCTGCTTCAAATACTCAAAAATCTGCATATTTGATAGGAGGTAAGTGTTCTTTATTGAGGCTTGTCTAATAACGATGGCCTGTGATTGATAAATTCAATTCTCTGCTTCAAATATTCAAGAATCTGCATATTTGATAGGAGGTAAGTGTTCTTTATTGAGGCTAGTTTTTTAACGATGGCCTGAGATTGAAAACTTCAGTTCTCTGCTTCAAATACTCAAGAATCTTCATATTCATAGGAGGTAATGTTCTTTATTGAGGCTTGTCTAATAATGATGGCCTGAGATTGAAAACTTCAATACTTTGCTTCAAATACTCAAGAATCTGCATATTCATAGGAGGTAATGTTCTTTATTGAGGCTTATCTTATAACGATGGCCTCAGATTGATCAACATTCTACTTTAAATACTCAAGAATGTGCATATTGACAGGAGGTAATGTTCTTTATTTAGGCTTGTCTAATAACGATGGCCTGAGATTCAAAACTTCAATACTATGCTTCAAATACTCAAGAATCGGCATATTTGATAGGAGTTAAGTGTTCTTTATTGAGGCTTGGCTAACAACGATTACCTGAGATTGATAAATTCAATTATCTGCTTCAAATACTCAAGAATCTCCATATTCATAGGAGGTAATGTTCTTTATATAGGCTTGTCTAATAACGATAGCCTGAGATTGAAAACTTCAATACTCTGCTTCAAATACTCAAGAATCTCCATATTCATAGGAGGTAATGTTCTTTATATAGGCTTGTCTAATAACGATAGCCTGAGATTGAAAACTTCAATACTCTGCTTCAAATACTCAAGAATCTCCATATTCATAGGAGGTAATGTTCTTTATATAGGCTTGTCTAATAACGATAGCCTGAGATTGAAAACTTCAATACTCTGCTTCAAATACTCAAGAATCTCCATATTCATAGGAGGTAATGTTCTTTATATAGGCTTGTCTAATAACGATAGCCTGAGATTGAAAACTTCAATACTCTGCTTCAAATACTCAAGAATCTGCATATTTGATAGGAGGTAATGTTCTTTATTGAGGCTTGTCTAATAACGATGGCCTGAGATTTATAAATTCAATACTTTGCTTCAAATACTCAAGAATCTGCATATTTGATAGGAGGTAATGTTCTTTATTGAGGCTTGTCTAATAACGATGGCCTGAGATTAAAAAATTCAATTCTCTGCTTCAAATACTCAAGAATCTGCATATTGGCAGGAGGTAAGTGTTCTTTATTGAGGCTTGTCTAATAACGATGGCCTGAGATTAAAAAATTCAATTCTCTGCTTCAAATACTCAAGAATCTGCATATTGGCAGGAGGTAAGTGTTCTTTATTGAGGCTTGTCTAATAACGATGGCCTAAGATTGAAAATTTCAATTCTCTGCTTCAAATACTCAAGAATCTGCATATTCATAGGAGGTAATGTTCTTTATTAAGGCTTTTCTATTGAAGTCTGATTGGGAAATTCAATATTCTGCTTAGATCTGCCATTAAAAAGGCTTGTCGAAATAGGTCTCAAATTTCAAGAAATTCAAGTTGGGACTTCATGAATAGCATTTTTTTCTCCTTTGTGCCTAGCTCTTGCAGCTCATCTGTTCAGCGAAGGCACATCATTGTGCAACGCTTGATGGATTCGAGGCTCGAGCAAATCACTTAAGAGAGAGAGAAGAAGGTAGAGAATGTTCAGATATCTGCTTAGTACAAGAATATGACGTCTTGGTAAGGAGGTATGTATTCCAACTACATTGTACTGCATATTTACTTATGTTACATTAACCCAGCGCAATGTTGGATTTTGGCATTGGTCTAAGAGCAATGGTAAGTGATTTTTTTCTTTCTTATGTGCATTTCTTACAAATGTTATATCATTATAGAATAAACCAATCTCTGCGTACCTTAATTTGTTCTAATTAACCACATCTTTTGGTGACTTGTTCTTAACAGGGATATTGCAAAAATTCCAATTTGTAGATTCTATCTTTGCCGCTTCTCATCAGGTGACTTCTCTTTCCTCTTTTAAACCTAGTTATGATCTTCACAAAAGTTTACCAAAGTTTATGATTTCTTAATTGACTCCATCTTTTGGTTTCCATTATAGTGTTATTTGTTGTGTCTGAATTGTTGTAGAAGTAGGAGTTGTGGGAAACTGTATGATCCTAATTCTGTCATTTTGGTAACTTCTGGTTGTGTTTATAAGAGAAATAGTTTCATTTTATAAGATTTCTTCTCTTTGTTCCAATTACAGCAATTTTTGTCTCTTGAAAAGAAAGCTCTGGTTTCTCAGGTATGTCCTCTTTCTGTTGCTTCTCAAATTTCAGTTATATTAGTTCTTAGCTTCGTTTGATTTTTGTCGTAGCAGCATGAGTTCGTTTAAGGTTTGAGTCAGAGACCAAATGACTTTTTTTTCCTTGTAATGATTCATAGATTGTTCCTCGTGAAGTTCAGATACTAAGCGGTTAGTGTTCAACATCATAAGCTTCTTTTTGGCCTGATATCAATCTCATTGTGTTAAACTCATTAGTGTTAATATCAAACTTATAAGACTTAGAAAGCATCGTTAAGGCATTCCTCTAAAACTTTCTTCACCCATGTATTTGGTTTTGAATTTATTTGTCTGCAGAAAAGAGAGGCAAGTTGCTGGATCTCAAATAAGGACATTTGGTGGCACTGATACATGAATAATCTATCTTTGGTACATGTTCTTTTTCTCTGTTTTCAATATCTTAATGTTGTTGCTTGGATTTTAATTCTTTGTAGTACTAGAATAAGATGTGGTGTTGGCAATGTCCAAGTCTTAAACCAAAATTCAGCCGCTTTTGATCAGGTAAAATTTCATTCCCCTAAATTAAAGTTCTGATTCATACTTAGATATCATGATTTTTCAACATCCTATGATGGTTTTTTCTCGGTTTTGCTCATTAAATGTTTTTAGGAACTAAAGGTTGCTATATCCCCAAGTCCACTCTAAGGTACTAGTACTACTGACTTTCTGATCCATTTGTGTTCTTAAAGCTTATCGACTTCTTTGAAACTAAAGGTATGGCCAATAAACAATTTAATCTCTGTTAAAATTTCTAGCCTTTGATATTTTTAGGCAAAGTATATAACTATAGATTCTTTTATCGTAGACATGATTTGAGCTTTTTCGGTGCACGCCGTCTTCAATACCAGTTTTTGCAAGTAAGTAATCCTTAAGTTTGCTACTTCGTTTGATATATGTTAATGCATGCATTTTTCAGAATTTTCATCTTCAGAGCAAAACTTTGGTGTACTTCAGCGGTACACTCTTCTCTTTCTAAGGTATGATTTAGACGTGTTTTTTTTAGGTTGATTATTTGCTTTAGGATTAAATAAAACCTCTATTAAGCTAACAAATCTTTGATGATAACTAACTAATATAAACATAAACGCATACACGAAGGTGAACACATACACGAAGGTGAACACATACACTAAACGCTAACATAATTGCATATATGTTGAATTCGTCACTCTCACTTTAGTTTCAGGTTTGTTTTCACTCACTTTTTCTCTGTTCTTTCTTCAAAACGTTTTTCTTCTTAACACACCTCCATTTTCATTAATTTTTCTTTAACCTTACACACACATACATATAGTACTTCTTTTCTAGCTACACACACTTGCACTTACATTTACACTTTTACCTTACCTCTAGATGCTAGGTTCCAACCCACACAAACAACCCTTAACTACTCCCTTAGACTACAACACCAACACACTAAATCACTTGGGCCTAACTTGATCTGTAGGCCCATTAGTCTTATTACAACAAAATAGCTTGAAGCCCAACTTCTTCTTCTCGTTAACTTCTCTCTGTCTTCTCCGATTCCTTCTTCTTCTTCTTCTTCTACTTCTGTATTTCTTTGTCCTTCATCATCCTCTTATGATTCTCGTCTTCTTTTACTTTTTCAGGAACAATAAAGGAGTCAACCTCAACAATATACACGTAAGTGAACACATACACTTAACGCAAACATAATTATTGTGCTCACAAAAAAAAAAAAAAAAGAAGCACAAACACTAACAATTTTAAATGCAAACACGAACGTAAAATCTAACAAAACAAAATGCACACAAATACAAATGTCAAAGACAAACTCAAACATAAACTTTTAGAGTCAAATGCAAATATAGAGTGCTAAGCGAAAATACTTCACGCAAATGACTCTAGATGTAAACACAAATCTATGTTCGAACGCACAAATGTATATCGTTTCACAAGTGCACACAAATTTGAGCCATTTTCTTAGGTGTACTTAATGTTCCCGGTCATTAATTAAGGGCTTTTAGACTCGTTTTACTGTATTCGTACGTCAAATTAGTTTATTTTCTTTCACACTAAAAGAGTGGATGATAAAAAGCACAGTGATAAGCCAAGATTGATACATACCGTATCAATATATCCCCGCCTTTGAAAGTAGTAACCTTATCCTCAAGGTTGAAACGAAGAAACCGACTTTTGATGACATTCTTCCGCTTGTAATCCGGAAGGCCCGTCCTTTCGAAGAGTACCTTCCCTTTTATTTTCCATCACCACTTTTTTAGAGATTCCTCAAGGTATCTTTTATTTAAATTAATACAAATGAATCCTACAATAACAACATTGTGTTCTCGACATGATCATGAATTGCGAATACGTAGATAGAATAACGATACTTGGGAATTTTCTCCAGCCTAGTACCTTGGATTTCAACTCTTCTAAAGCTGTTTTGGTTCATGTCATAGTAGTAAACATACAACGGCTTATCAAAGAAATACCTATATTGAGTCACAAAGATCTCACCAGCAGGGGTGACCCCTGAGAAGCCATCAAAACAACCTTTTAACCTACCCAATGGGTCAACTGGCAGAGCAAAAGTAATCTTGGACCATTCTTGTTTCTTAGCATTCTCCAAAACCCACGTACTTGTATCCTTGTTGGTGCAACCAATGCATCCTAACTTCCCTCGGTAGTTTAACAAAGTTCGGTGACTCACAATGGAACTCGACATTGCGTCTAACATTGTATCTGGAGCCCAGACATGATAGAAACATTCGGACCTGATGTCGAAACTCAGCAATACCAAGGTCGAAATTCTTCCGAAAGTCAGTTTCACCTCAAGACTTGTCCTTTTTCATAAATCTAGTTGCTCCGTAGTAGATAGTCCCATCGACGCAAACCCCCTTGGCGCTTGGAAAAAGTTTCCCATCATGGCATCATCAATGCCTTGGATTCTCCTCCAAGATTGACTCTGTCCCAATGTGTAAACATGAAAAGTTTGCGTAAGCTCTCGAAAATCAATAACCATGGACAACACTTTGTATTGATCCATGACAGGGTCGTATCCAAAAAGACAGTTACATTTCTGGAACTCTGTCTCTGGGGCTCCGATCTCGGGTAAACCAACGGATTGTCTCGTTGTAGGGTTGTATATCCTAACCAATTTAGAAAAAATCGAATAACAACAGATCAAGCCTCTGACGTATTGATACTTGAACGGATACTTGTCGTGTCCATAGACTGATACTGCGGGTTTGAGGCTTTGAGAGAAACTAGACGAGACAGTGAAGAAAGTTTCAGGCACACAATGGTGGAAGACCAACAGGGGAAGCTGCTGCCCCGGCTGAGCTAAAGATCGAGTAACGACCGACTCGATGGTCTCTTCCTCTTCAGCTGCAGATAATCGTTGACAATTGCTTTGAGACGCATCGGAACCGATCACAAGTGACTTTCCCGGGAGTTTCTTTAGTATCTCCACAATGAGATCCAGAGGAAGTTGCAAATATTCTTCTTCACGGTAATTCTTTTCTTCATTTCCTTTTCTCATGACCTCTGTTTTTCTCCTTCTTTTGTAAACACTAAAACGTGACTGTAATCTAAGAAACATAACTGAAACTCACAAGAGTTGTGAAATATCGAGACGGCCAAGAAGACGATTAATATAGAGATGGTGTTAAGGACTTTAGGGTTTTGTGTATATAAAAAAAGTTAAGTTTCTCTTAGAGATAAGAATCCCAAAACCAGAAGTAATCTCAAAACTCTCTTTGTTAAAACCGAAATAACAATTACGTCACAAGGACAGAGTAAAAGAACTTCCAAGAAGACGATTAATATAGAGATGGTGATATTGAAACTTCTTTATAGTTCTTGGATCATTATTTCATAAACTATACAAATATAGAATTCAAGATCTCACCATTTTCATCAATATTTACTAGGAAATACTGAAATTAACATTAACCAGCATGAGTGATATACCTGAGAAAGTTCTGAAATCACCTCCAGGGTATTCAAGCAAGTCAAAAGTAATGTTGGACCATTCTTGTTTCTCAGCATTCTCCATAATCCACACACTTGTATTGTTTTCGTTATTACTTATGCATCCTAGCTTCCCTTGGTGGTTGAAAAGAGCTCGATCATTCCACTTGGGACTCCACAATGCTTCAGGAGTGCGGACATGATAAAATATTTCCGACCTCACGTCAAAACTCAGCATTATAGTTTCACCATATTTGAACATTTCTTTTCTTCTAACTGCTACGTAATAAATAGTTCCGTCAATGCATACCCCCGCTTGGCCGTTTGGAATGAGTTCCTCATCAATATTGCCTCGGATTGTCCTCCATTGTTGACAATCTTTAACCAATGTGAAAAGTTTGCGTTAACTCTTGTGAGTCAATAACCATGGCCAACACTTTGTATTCATTCATGACATGGTCGTATCCAAAGTAACAATGTTTGTGTCTCTTTGGTGACGGTGCCATTGATTCGATCTTCGGTACGTAAAGGAATGCATTGCCTCGTGGTAGGGTTGTATATCGTAACCACATCATATACTGGTGAAGAACAACAGATAAAGCCTTGGATGTATTGATACCTGAACGAATAATAGTTGTTTGGTCCAGGCATTATTGATACTTTGGGTTTTGTGCTTAGAGAGAATGTAGACGACACGGTGAAGGAAGTTTCAGGCGCACACCGGTGGAAGATGAAGACCGGAAGCTTATGAGGCGGCTGTCTCAAAGACCGAGACATGATCGACTCAACGAAGTCTCTACGGTTGCTTATAATGGATGACCATTGCTTTGAGACACATCGGAACCTCATCAAAGATTTTGTCGGGAGTTTTTTGAGTATCTCCACAATTAGGTCAAGGGGTAGTTGAAAATCTTTTAATTTTGACAAAAGAAGTTGAAAATCTTCCAATCTTCTTTCTTCTTGTTTTGATGATCTCTGCTTTGTCAAATATCTGATAGATTTAGCAATGGACAAAAAGAAAATAAAGACAGAGAAGGCTTGTGTTCTTTTATTAACACTAAACATGGAGCCGGTGGTCTATGAAAACTTAAACTCAAAAGAATAATCGATATGTCATATGTGGAATAGAGGTGGGGGAAAAATGAAGAGAACAGCGTGAAGAATGAAGGTGGAGGAGATATAGGAAGTTATCAAAAAGGCGAAGTAAAGGATGATATATATCGTGTTAGAGAATTAGGGTTTTGGTTACCAAAAGAAAAACAGATTAGGGTATAATGTGTATATTTTTCAAAAGGTATAATTCAAGAACTTAGGATTTTGTATTAAAAAAAAAAAAAAACTAAAGGGGTGTTATTGGTTTGTGATTGTTTAGGACTTTTAATGACTTAAAATGTTATGAAGAATCTTTTATTATTCAATTAAGATTTTTTAAGACTCTTAAAGTTTGGTGTTATTAGTTTTGGATTTGTAAAAACTAATTTAAAATCTTCATAAATCTGGAGTTATTGGATACATACTTTAATAAAGTCATTGATGAAAATTTTGTGTTATTCAACTAAAACAAAAGTATCTTTGATTGTTAATTAATGATTTAAACTATTATGTTATTGGTTTATGATTTTATACATTTTTCTTCACAAACTAAATCATGAAAGGCATCATAAAAAAAATAGAGATTATGAATAATATGAGTACATTTGACTTTGTATATATAATTTTTAGAAAACAATGGATCATCTCCCTATCCATTAAACAAAGACCAATGATAACAAAGACCTATGTTTTACCAAAAAAAAAAAAAAAAAAAAAAAACAAAGACCTATGAACGTAACTTGTTTACGACCTCTCTCTAATCTTTCTAACAAAGACCTATTGACAAAACCAAAACGTACGCTTTCTGGTGGAGATAATTTTATAGAATATGAGACAAGCAATAATAACCACAATAGAGTATGATGCAATATTTTAGAAATATGTTATAATAAAAGTTTGAGACAATCAAAGTTTATAATTATATTTAGGGAGACTTTACAAGATTGTGAAAATTATGATGGAAACTTTACAAGATTATGGAAAAGTTAATCAAAGAGATTATACAAAACTCTCTAATAATCATTTAAAATCGTTAATTTTATCTATTTTCTATATTCTTTAAAGTTATTAAAACTCTTTTAAAGTTGCCAACAATAACAAGGTACAATGCTACAACTAAAAAAACGAAGCAATAAAAGCGCGCGAATCGGAGGGAACCGGAGAGACCAAAACCCTAATTTCGTCGACGAAAACAACCATGCCGGAGCTTCCAGAGGTAGAGGCGGCGAGAAGAGCAATAGAAGAAAATTGTCTTGGAAAGAAGATTAAGCGAGTCATTATCGCCGACGACAACAAAGTAATCCATGGAATCTCCCCGTCTGATTTCCAAATCTCAATCCTCGGCAAAACCATCGTCTCTGCTCGTAGAAAGGGCAAAAACCTCTGGCTCGAGTTAGATTCGCCGCCATTTCCTTCTTTTCAATTTGGTAAGTTCTCTTAAACAGATTTAGGGTTTAACATCTTAAAAATCACGACTTTAGAAGGAATCAAATCAATTACATCAAAATTGAAAATTTGACGAAATGCAGGGTTGCTCATAGTTCAATGCTAGACCTTTTTGCTTTGATTCGTTAAAAAAGGAGTGAAAGTGTTTGGCTTTATTGTTTCTGAGAAGTTATATTTTGGTTTATATGTGTTCTTCAGGTATGGCTGGTGCTATTTATATCAAAGGCGTTGCAGTTACTAAGTATAAGAGGTGAGTTTTATGGAGTCTGTGAAGTTTTTATTACATTTGCAGTTACTAAGTATAAGATTCATAGAACAAGATTGATTTGTATTACATTGTTTATGTAGGTCTGCTGTAAAGGACTCAGAGGAGTGGCCATCTAAGTATTCAAAGTTCTTCGTCGAGGTTAACAAATTTATAATCTTCTTTTAACTGATCGCTAACCTGAAAAATGTGCTTTAATTACAATGAGTTATGATTTTGTATACAGCTTGATGATGGTCTGGAGCTTTCATTTACTGATAAGAGGAGATTTGCCAAAGTTCGACTTCTAGAAAATGTATAAAAGCATAACTCTTAAGTTGCTTTTCTTTATAAAATGCTCTGTGGATGCTTAGTGGATGTTTAATTTATGTTTGCTATTGCAGCCAACTTCTGTGAGTCCAATATCAGAGCTTGGTCCTGATGCATTGTTAGAGCCTATGACAGTTGAGGAATTTGCAGAAAACTTAGCTAAAAAGAAAATAACCATAAAACCTCTCCTACTTGATCAGGTTGAGAGTTTTAATTCATTTTCTCTCACTTTTATGCATCTTTCAGCTCTTTCTTGTCCTTACCACTTATGACAATAACTAGAACTTGGCTATATGACATTTTAAATGCTGCAGTAACTCGAAACGATCTTCTTTTATTTTGCAAAGTTTTGTTCCTCTTCTTTTTGTATAAAAAGTTCGCATTTAGAGGATTATGTATCTCTTCCCTTTTGCAGGGTTTTATTTCAGGTATTGGGAATTGGATCGCTGATGAAGTGCTGTACCAAGTAAGTGAGCTTTACACACTTACACTTGAAATGAAGTAAATCATCTATCTAACCACTCATTTGATTCACAAAGTATCCACTTTTGTTTTCAACTCTGTACATTTGACGACAGAAGAAACTGGTTTACATGCTGTACGATTAATTCTACTAGTTTATGTTTTTCTCAGGCCAGAATCCACCCGTTGCAGTCTGCTTCTAGCCTCTCCAAAGAGCAATGTGAAGCTTTGCACACATCCATCAAAGAGGTAAGATTCTTTAAAAACCCACCAAAACATATACCTAAAAAACATGGGAATTAAGAAAGCTCTGTTAGTATATATGCATGCTGCATTGTTTATTGGGATTTAGAGAGAGAAAAAAAACCGCATCTGTAGGTCATTCAACATGCGGTTCAAGTCAGTGCTGATAGCAAAGAGTTTCCTGTTGATTGGTTGTTTCATTTTCGGTGGGGGAAAAAAGCGGGGAAAGTTAATGGTAAGCTTTCCCACCATCTATCTATAAATTTGAAGCAGAATTTGGGGTTTTGCAGGTGATAGAAAAAGCTGTGGAAGTTGATGCAGACAGTAGTCAGTTTCCTAGTAACTGGATTTTTCATGATAGGGAAAAGAAGCCAGGAAAGGCCTTTGTTGATGGTCTGAATCCCAGATTTCACACTCTTTATCTACCTGCAATAGTTCATAAAATTGTTGGATCTGTTGATCTCTCAACCTCCAACGGCAGTTGTTAATCCCCATGATAATGGTTTAAACGTTATGAGAGTGAATTGTGATGTATCCGATTTATGTGGTTGGTAATGAATACTGTTTTGGTTATTGCAGGGAAGAAGATTGATTTCATTACTGCTGGTGGAAGGGTAAGTATATGTATGCATTGTTAGGCACTGTTATAATGTGGATGATTAGTTCATGTAGTGAACTGAACTAATGTTTATGTGTTTGGCTGTTTCTTTTGTAGACAACAGCTTATGTTCCAGAACTGCAGAAACTTTCTGGGAAAGACGCAGAGAAAGCAGCCAAGGTCAGACCGGCTAAACGAGGTGTGAAACCCAAAGAAGACGATGGAGAAGGAGAAGAAGATGAACAAGAATCCGAGAAAGAAGATGAGAGTGCTAAAACGAAGAAAGGACAGAAGCCCAGGGGTGGTCGTGGTAAGAAGCCTGCCTCGAAGAGAAAAACAGAAGATAGTGACGATGAGGACGATGATGCTGATGGTGGAGATGATAGCGAGGCTGAAGAGAAAGTTGTGAAACCCAGAGGCCGTGGTACAAAGCCTGCGACAAAGAGGAAATCTGAAGAGAAAGCTACTAGCCAAGCTGGTAAGAAGCCAAAGGGAAGAAAAAGTTGAGAACCTAATGACTACAAGATGTTTTTTTTTTGTGGGAAGCAAACACTTATCCCATTTTTTTGTAAGAAAGTATGTTGGAAATGTGGGATGTCTACAAGGCTTACTATTGCTAGTTATTTTGGCTGTTGCAAGGCTTTGTGATTACCTTTGTCCTTGTTTGGTGAATTTGGAAGTCAGAAAAATGCTCGGAGGGCAGCAACTACTTTCTCTGGCCTGTACACAGTTCAAAATTCAGAGACTCAAAAAAATCAAAGCAGACCAGAGCAGTATCGTTTATTCTCATACCAGTCTTCTTGAGGCAAATGCCCAGCACCTTCGATGAGTCGAAGCTTGACATTTTGGGGGTTCAGTTTCTCAAATTCCTCTGCTATAGACTGAGGCAGATATTTATCAGCTATTCCCCAAGCCAGAAGCGTAGGTTTATCCCAGCTGTGAAGGATCCAAATCTCAGCAAATCACCAGGCCTGTCTGTAGCCGTGGGAATTTGAAAAAAGTTGAAATGCACGTACCTGTCCGATGAAAACCCATTTGCAATTTGACTCAAGGTGTCTCCAAAGTTGATCTTTTTCGCAGTCTCGAGCAAGGCTAATTCATCAGAATCTCATGATGAGAAGTCTCTTAGATAAATACATTAAACCATCATAAGAAACAAGAGTAAGGTGTATCATGCTCCATTCATTGAATTTGGTTTAGAGACGTACCAAACCCAGGTCCTCCGCTTGACAAATATGGTAGACGATAGACATCAGCTTTCTCATTCTTCAGGACGTAGCTATCAAAACAGATATAGAGTAAGACAATTGTCAGTTGAAGCCTCTATCAATATCACCAAACACATGCATTTTGAGGCTGAGGTAAGAGAATAGCCAGTATCTAATGTCCCATCTCTATAGATAATAAAAAATTAGATAACCATATACACTCCACATAAAGATGATGGTTAATTTGATACGTACGGGCTACCTCCTTCAATGAACCGCTCGGCCAAGATAGCATTTTGGCAGGTGAATTCACCAAACAGGGGAATTCTGCATCAGAAAAAAATGACACACAAATACAATTGTGAGAGGCATTAAATAAGCCAATTAGATAATCAAGGCACGAGGCTGCTGCTTTCACAAAGAATTACAAGCATTTAGAGTAGTCAAAACGGCAAAAGAGTTGAACCTCAGTTGCTTAAATAATCCGGGAACTGGGGATGAAACGGTCAGTGGACTATTAAGGATCGCGATTTTCTCAACCTTGCTTGGATTTTTCAAAGCCCAAGTTAAACCATATGAACCTACAAGAAATCCCTTGGGAGACCACAACAAATGCAGACATCAGATATATGTTTAATCTTGATGAATTGTTGACATATTTACACAGAAATGGGATAAGTACACACATCCGAACCTGAACAACAAGAAAGAAAGGAGATTTGACCTCTAGCACTTCCAGCAGTTTATCAAAAGCCTCATGGTACTCTTTTTCTGAAAAGATTGAAAACTTATTAGAACAAAGAACCATCCATGTACACTGATTTTGCAGTTCACAAACAAACCTGTATAATTAAAACCGTATCCCGGCTGTGGCTTGTCACTGAATCCGAATCCTATCCAGTCAGGTGCGAAGCAATGAAATCCAGCATCTGACATCTATTACATTGTTGAGAACAACAAAAAGAAACATACAATAAATGCATACTCAAAATCATCTATATTATGAGTCTTTCATTAGAAGCAACCCCAGAAACTGATTCTCATATAGACAAATGATTCAAGATTCAATGCAGCACCTCAGACATAACGGTCCGGTAACTAAAAGACTGAGTAGGAGCTCCATGAACAAAAACAATGGTTCCTCGCCGACTCTCCTTTGATCCTTCCGGAAAAAAAAAGAACAATGATTAATCAGTGATCAAAAACTCTTCTTGAAACCAAAAAAAAAAAAAAAAAGAAACACAAAACTTAAGTTTTTACCAGTTTCTCTCACAAACCATCTAAGCTTCCCAGATTTGATAATTGATCCATACTCTTTACCTTTATCTTCAGTCCTCTAAACCCACAACAAAACCACTCAAATGTATCAAAACCAGAATCACAAAAATCAACAAAAACATAACTTTATGGAATTTGAAATCAATATAAGCAAATGTGAAGCAGGAATTTTTTTCAAGTTCAATCACAGTTCAAAATTGAAGTGAGTAGATATGTGAAACTTACGTAGAGCATTTGGCCGACGTTACCGTCTTCCGCCGGAGACTCCGGTAACTGAATTGCGCTCCGGCTAGACGGATTGTCTGTAACGAAACCAAATGGGTTAAAAGACGGATCCTCATCACGATCTTTTTTACGTCCACCGCTGTTTCCATTCTCCGGCGTCGCGTTGACGACGGAGAAGCGGAGTTTCGACGGCGTGGCAGTGATTCTAGAGGCGGTGGATTTTGTGACGACGGTGGAGGAGAATGAGTGGAGCAGAGGAAGAGGAGAGAGCTGAGACATTTTTTTGATTGGTCAAGTACAAAACGTAATTCCTCTCTTTATATATGCGAGTAGAAAGAGAAAAATAAAAATAAAATTGAAAAAATTAGTGGTTGATAATTTATAAATTAAAACTGTGGGTCAAATCTAGAAATTGATTAAAAAAATTGATATATCAAACTGTTTTAGTTTTTTTTTTTCCAAAAGGATCCTTTTATATATATTAACAGCAACATCCATCATTGGAGAAACCAAGTTGGAGAGGCAAGTACAAGATACAACACAGAAATTTACAAGCCAAACAAATAAAAGAAAAGTACAATACTGTCTACCACTAAAGAAAAAGGATTAAAATGGTAGCTTGTTAATAGCAGACTCATAACAAATCACAATAAGACCAAACATCGAAACTTAAAAGTTTGCAGTTGATCTTATCGTTTCCATCATATGCTCGTATTATGAGTGCTTTTTGCTCACCATATTAACACCAGAATCATGATTAGCAGAAGAAAGAGTTGAAACACCTAACTAAAACAAAAAAAAGATAAAGGCAATCATAAAGAGATAAGGATGAATCCACGTGTTGCACAATCATCCAAGGAAAACGTGAGTCATCAAAGTGGACTGAGTAATGACGTCATCAAAAGCGAGTCACCGGAAAATCATCTCCGGTAAACTGGACAACGTCGCAGAACCTTCAAGTCCACCGTGCCCAAACTAATTCTGAGGTAACAAAAGCATCCTTAACGACTAAAAGAAACAAACTCTTTCTTTATTCACTATGTCACAAAACGAAGACCTTGACATCGCTTCATTAACCAGCATCTTCCAACAATTCAATTCAAAGGCTGGTTTGGATCATAGATCCAAAATCCCAGAATTTTGTTGCACCAACAGAGACTCGAATTGTAGTGGGTTCTTCAAGGCAGAAGAAGCCGTCGAATCCTTCGAGAAAAAGCAATTTCACAAACAAAATACCAAAGCAAAGGATAAGCCAGACCAAAGCTAGTGTACAACCGGAACGGTGACGGCAAGGCTGTGACGGCAAAGCCGGAATTTCCAGATACCAAATCCGGAACAAACCGAAACGGCAAGATAGAATGGCGAAAAAATCTAGAGAACCGGCAACGGTGCTAGAAAAAGCCACCGGACACCGGTGACGGCTTAAACAGACGGCGGTAACTATAACAAGAAGTGGGATCGGGCTAGAGAAGCCATGGAACACAGGTGAAAGAGATCTTTGATTTCTCTCTCTAAAAGATTTGAGAGAGAGAAGAGAGATAAACCAGACCACCCACTTTTTCTCTTCAATTTTGCATATATTAATGCGTGACCATCAAACTGTTTTATAAGCTCATTAATATCACATTAACAAGTTTTTGCATTTTTCACACCAAAAAAAAAAAAGAAGAAGCAAGTTTTTGCATTTTACTAATCTCATAGATTTTAAATTCAGAGAATTTTATGTAATGTATAAAATTAATGACTAAACTCATTAGAACAAATTATAGATGCTTTTTCTTTTATTAGCAGAGAAGATCTCTATACTGAGTAATTTGTTATTCACCTATTTCTTTTATTTTATATGTCAACATGAAATTAAAAAATAGTTACACAAGTCTTTCATTACTCACATAAAAGTATATATATAACAACTTAACCAAAATCAAATTTACTTTATAAAAAAAAACATCCGTATAAAAGTTTTAAAATGATTAGTGGTAAGGGTAGACTAAGAATATTGAAAACATTTGGGTATTTTCTGATATTTAACAAAAAATACAGGGATTGATATGTCTAAGTGCGAAGAAACGACGACGTTTTGCAGCACGTGCTTTGAACCTGTGAAAACCCTAATAAGGAAGGGGTCTGTCTCTCTATGTTGGTGAAAATGCTAGAGTCACCAGTCGAGCCCCAAAGAACCTTCACCGTCACAAGAAGAACTTAAACTACCTAACCGCTTTCAAAGGTCAATACCCGCGCAAGATCACTCTCGGGTCGGATCTTTCCGTTTAAGACCCGACCGGATCCATCCCGGACCGATCAATTTCACGGTTGTTCTCCGTCAATCGGATAAAGCCAAGTGCTTTTTCAAAATTTACCCGCGAATTGAGGAAGGAAGAGAAGCTGAAGCTCCAATGGAGAGAAATGAGTCCGTTGATGAAGATGTATGTGTTTAACTCGAAAACCCCTCTTTTGAATTCTGGATTTTGTGAAGATTATGAATCGAATCGCTCAAGCTCTAGTGTTTAGATGTTTGCGTTGTGATGATGTTACATTTGATTATGATTTTGTTCAGCTCCTTCACAAGTTTGATACCCTAATAGAGTAAATAGGGTTTGTTAGAACCAAAGTTTATAGCTTTATGTCAAATTGATAGATAGTGTGTTATTACAGGTACAAGCATCTGCGTATTTAGAGAACGACGAGATACGTGAAAGAGATGATCCAATGTCAGATGGTGGATGTACTTTACGGATAGGAGAAGAAGCTCTAGTTTGTAGTAGTGGGCATGAGATTGATGTTGAATTTTGTCAAAACGAACAAAGAAAGAGTGAAGAAGAAGAAACAAGGGGAGAGTTTGATGAACAGAGTGGTTTACTTGTTGAGAGAAAAGAATTTGAAGCACCGGCGGTTGGAATGGAGTTTGAGTCGTATGATGATGCTTATAACTATTATAACTGTTATGCTACTGAAGTTGGGTTTAGAGTAAGAGTGAAGAATTCATGGTTTAAGCGGAGTAGTAAAGAGAAGTATGGTGCGGTGCTTTGTTGTAGTAGTCAAGGTTTTAAGAGGATTAACGATGTGAATCGTGTTAGAAAGGAAACTCGAACTGGTTGCCCTGCTATGATAAGAATGAGACAGGTAGATTCTAAGAGGTGGCGGGTTGTTGAAGTTATACTTGATCATAATCATTTACTCGGTTGCAAGTTATATAAATCGGTTAAAAGGACCGGGACCAAGAGGAAGTGTGTATCTAGTCCAGTCTCAGACGCTAAGACGATTAAGCTGTACCGGGCGCATGTGATTGATAATGGGAACAATGTGAACCCAGATTCGACTCTTAACAAAAAGTCTCAGAATTCCGCTGGGTCACCCGATTTGCTGAGCCTTAAGAGAGGAGATTCCGCAGCCATTTACAACTACTTTTGCCGTATGCAATTGACAAATCCAAACTTTTTTTACCTGATGGATGTAAATGATGAAGGTCAACTACGGAATGTATTCTGGGCAGATGCTTTCTCTAAAGTCTCTTGCAGTTACTTTGGCGATGTCATCTTCATCGACAATTCTTATATATCTGGAAAATTCGAGATTCCACTGGTGACATTTACTGGAGTGAATCACCATGGGCAAACTACATTACTTAGTTGTGGTCTTCTTGCTGGAGAGACAGTGGAGTCCTACCATTGGTTGCTCAAAGTATGGCTCGGTGTCATGAAGTGTTCTCCTCAAACCATTGTTACAGACAGATGCAAGCCTTTAGAGGCTGCAATCTCTCAAGTGTTCCCAAGATCTCATCACAAATTCAGTCTGACACATATAATGAGGAAAATTCCAGAGAAATTAGGAGGGTTGCATAACTATGATGGTGTGAGGAAGGCATTTACGAAAGCAGTTTACGAAACCTTAAAAGTTGTTGAATTTGAAGCAGCTTGGGGGTACATGGTTCACAATTTTGGGGTTATCGACAATGAATGGCTCCGTTCCTTGTATGAAGAGCGAACTAAATGGGCTCCGGTTTATCTCAAAGACACGTTTTTTGCAGGAATCGCAGCTGCTCATCCTGGAAAAACCCTGAATCCATTTTTTGAGAGGTATGTTCACAAGCAAACACCGTTGAAAGAGTTTCTCGATAAGTATGAGCTAGCTCTTCAGAAGAAGCATAGGGAAGAAACTCTCAGCGATTTAGAGTCTCTAACCTTGAACACCGCTGAGCTTAAAACAAAGTGTTCTTTTGAGACACAGCTCTCGAGAATCTACACGAAAGACATGTTCAAGAAATTCCAAGTAGAGGTAGAAGAAATGTACTCATGTTTCAGCACTACGCAGGTCCACGTTGATGGACCTTTCGTAATCTTTCTTGTGAAAGAACGGGTCCAAGGAGAATCCAACAGGAGAGAGATCCGTGATTTCGAGGTTCTGTACAATAGATCAGTTGGTGAAGTACGGTGCATTTGTAGCTGCTTCAACTTCTACGGATACTTATGCAGACATGCTCTATGTGTCCTCAATTTCAACGGCGTTGAAGAAATCCCTTTACGGTATATTCTACCGCGGTGGAGAAAAGACTACAAACGCCTCCATTTTGCTGATAACGGCTTGACCGGTTTCGTCGATGGCACAGACCGGGTTCAATGGTTTGATCAGTTGTATAAAAACGCTCTTCAGGTAGTTGAAGAAGGAGCGGTATCTTTGGATCATTATAAAGTGGCAATGCAAGTTCTACAAGAGTCTTTAGACAAAGTTCATAGTGTAGAAGAAAAACAAGACTAGTGTTTAGTGTTTATAGAAGAATTTCTGAAACTATATCTGTATATCATATAAAAATCAAAAATAAAATCTTATTTATATTTTTGTTTGCTGTATAATTTTGTTTTCTTGACATAGAGCTGTAATAACAAAAGATCATTCATGAAGCCAAAAATAATGCAAATAGGCAGATTGGTAAATATGTTTTTCATTAATATAGATAGATACAAATTTTGATTTCCTAAAAAGTTATGAACAGTTTCCCATTTTACCCCTATGGGCTTTTGAGCATGTATGCTATAACACTAATGGGCTTGTTACACAAAATTTCAAGGAAAAAAAAATCCAAAAATCTTTCCCTCTCCTTCAATCTTTCAGTGTTGTTTTTGGCGCAAAAAATTCCGAAATTTATCTTCGCTGGTGAGTTCTCTGAAAAAAGTGGCGGAAAAAAAAAAAAAAAAGAGGTGAGTTCTCTGAATATGTCGATCTTCCACAACTATGTTCATGAATTTTTGATACAGATTGTTTAATTTTATCAACGCAGCTTCGAGGAAAAGTCCGATCAGATCCAGAGTTTACGAACTGCAGTTTCCGGTGAGTTTATGAAAATCTTAATTACAATCCAAACGATTCACGATTCTCCAATTTCATGAACTTCCAATCGTTTCCAATTTGATGAAACTCCGATGTTTTAGATTGCCTTCGAAATTTGTAACCTAAATTTGAATCGGCTTGTCTTTGATTGAATCTGTGCTTGTAGTTTTGAAGAATCGCTTTTTTCCCAGAATCTATTTCTTCTAAGATTCCTCCGTCGTTTTGTTTCTCTGTAACAGTGAAATGAAGTTCAAGGCGTTTCTTACTGAAAATGGTGTGAATCTTTTAGAGAAGAGGTTTCTTCCAGCATTTGACAAAATGGGGAAGAATTGTCATCTTCTTCTCACTAAAGAACATTTGTTCTTCCTTCATAATCTTCTCAATGGTGATGGAGTTCAATGCATTGCTCAGTTTCGCAAAGATGTTCTCTTTGATGATTACCGTATCTCGAGCCAGAACGAGGATCGTATCGCTTTCTCCTTGGATGTTGCTCTTCTGTATCGAGCGGTAAAGAGCAGTGTTAGTATTTGTACTGAGTTCAGTGGTGGTTTAGCTTCAAACCGATTGCAGATCAAACTTGTGAAGAAACTGCCTCCTAACTGTACACAACCGATGCCGTTTCTCACTTTTGAAACGAAAGGATACAAATCTGCAGTTATACAAGATGTTCCGATTTCGAAACCGCTGTCTCGGTCCCAAGTTATTGAGCTGCAGACTGCTCTTGACTCGGCTCAAGATCTGCCTCCGACTCTTGTTCAAGTTCAAGACCCGAATCAGTTACAGAACTTTGTGGATCATATGAGACATGTTGGGGATGTACTTAATGTTACGATAAGCAAGCATGGTGATTTGCAAGTGCAAATCTCGACGACTTTGATTAGGCTTGGTACTGAGTTCCAGAGGCTTTCGGTTATTGGCGAGAAATCTCAGGCTCCTGTTGAAGATAGGAACTTAAGTGCTCAGGCTCGTTCAGAGAGAGCTATTGCTAGAGGAGATGCTCAGTCTGTGCAAGTGAGTGTAAAACACTTTTCAAAGAGCCTTCAATGTCACTTAACCAAACCAAATTCTGCTTTCTATGGGATTGCTCCTCAAGGTGCTTGTTTGACAGTGATCTTCCAGTTCATGGTTCCCGGGACTCGTCAAACCGATAAATCAATCAGTTTGCATTGCCGTCTTCCCGTGCTGGACCCAGGATCCAACTGAATCTTCATCAAGGTTAAGCAAGGACTTATAATATGATCAAATGTTTTAGTTTGCTTTTATCAAAAGACTTTCTCATTAAGAACAAATATGTACCACTACACTCTCTTACAAGCTCTCAAATCTCAAGCATCAATGATCAAAATCAAATCTTAAATTGAAAAAAAAAAACACAATAAACTTAAATACCAACTTCGCTATTCTAAAAGCAAGCACAACCACTCTTCTAAAAACAAGCACAACCAAAACCAGATTCTCGCAAAAGAAAAAAAGAATGCGTGAAATCGAATAACAGAGACTTTATCTATCCTTGTTCTTGTTATACATGATCTGTCTCTTCCGAAATGATCTCTGAGCTTTCATCTATTATTTCCCCTTCATTGTTTCCATTGAAGAGTGGATTAGCTTCAAGCTGAGCCATTTTCTCCTTTGATTCATTCATTAGCATCTCCACAACTTCAGACATTGTTGGTCTCTTCTCTGGCTCCCTCCGAGCACACATAAGCCCAACCAAAACTACCCTTTTCAGCTCCTCTTCCACATACTTCCCATTCAGCCTTTGATCGACAATTTCACCAAACTTTCTTTCGTATACAAGAGGTAAAACCCATTCGGTAATACCCCGCTTTGTTGTTAAGTTTACCTTTTCAATAGGTCTCTTACCAGTTACAAGCTCCAGCAAAAGAACACCAAAACTATACACATCTCCCATATCTGATTCTTTTCCAGATTCGATACATTCTGGTGAGAGATACCCAATGTTATTACCCTTGGTGCTTTTGTTAGCTCCATCATCTGGCATCAGCTTATCGTATCCGAAATCCGTAACCCGAGCTTCAAACTCAGAATCTAGCAGCACATTGCTTGCTCTCACATCTCCATGGACTATTCGGGGTGTTGCAAAATGATGTAAGTAGCTGTAAAAAATATAGAAACGAATAAATTAGTCAGTGGTAAATGTTGCTAATTTATATGAACTATCTTGATCCCGAAGACTTACGAAATCGCCTGAGCAGAGGTTACTGCAATATTCATCCGCCTGGTCCAATCAAGAAGCGACTCAGATGAATGCTGACCATGAAGATGAGAGACCAAGCTCAAATTTGGCATGTAGTCATATACAATGAGTCGTTCTTGTCCTTCCGCACAGTAACCTCGTACACTCAATAGATTCTTGTGACGAATACGAGCAAGAATCTCGACTTCTACAGCAAAATCTATATCTTCTCTGCTACTCCATGCCTTCAATCTCTTGACTGCAATCTAAACAAGACAACAAAAACTCATTACAATATGAAGATCAAAGAGACCAAATCTACACATTGTGATTCTACAAACTAGTTCGATACAATGCTGACCCGAAAAAGAACAGATTTCTATATATCAAGTAAGTTCAAGATAATTATTTACTTGAGATCCATCCCATAGCTGACCCCAATACACACTTCCAAATCGGCCTTCACCGAGCTTGTTGTCGTAATTAAAACTGTTTGTCGCTGCGTGAAGTTCTTTCAGTGAAAAAATCCTCCATGATGGCTCCGTTTTCACCTTCTTTTGCCTGTGCAATTTGTGAAACTTAAGCTTATCAAACAGTAGATTGTTGGTCGAAAGTTCCAAACTTTACACAGAAAACCAAATTTTGAACATGGATAGGCTCCTAGATTCAAGCATTCGAGAGAACTCGAGAAATGATATAAATCTCAAAACCCTAATTAAGAATAATAGCTAAATAGATAAAACCAAGAACAAATTTTGGAAGAACACAACAATAGAGAAATCAGATAAAACCCATAAACCAAACAAAACAAGATAAAACTCACACGTACCGATCAAATCCTTTTCCACAGCAGAAGCAACTAAAAATTTGCATCTTTGAACAAACCCAGAAACAAAAAAATCTCTCAAATTCAGCTCCTTTAGTTTCTAGACTCTTCCTTGTTGATGCAGAGAGAGTAAAGGTAACGCCTTTTTTCCTAGAGAATGTAACAGCAAAGCAAAAGAACAGAAAGAAACTTCTTTGATGCTTAATGAGAGAGAGAGAGAGAGAGTCGCTTTTACTTCTTGAAGAAGAGAAACAATTTTTCTTAGAATATTCTTCAATGCTCAACTCTTTTTGAATGTGGTTGTGTGTGTGTGTTTAGCTGTTTTAATTTGAAAATTATACACTTTATAAAAATATTTTAAAATATTAGTGGGAATGATTGTGCATATCCACACATATAGTATTTTATATAGTAATAATTAAATCAAAAGGTATTATTATTATTATATGTATTGTTTTTTTGAATTTTAAAGATTTCCTTTTTATGGCCTGTTGATGACACATGACAACTAATCAAATTTTCCTAATCACACAATTACAAAATCTTGCAATTTTTAAAGAAACAAAAGTTCATGAAGATCTCTAGATATGGGAAAATTATCTCTAGAATCAGAAAAAATATAAATTAAATATAGTATAAAATCTTAATTTAGTTAGATTGTTATTACTCAGAGTGGTCAGAACAAAATGTTAGGCTCTTTATCATAAATTTCCGTTTCTAACTTTCTACCAGCCTTTAACCAAAACAGGTCCGTCCAACTAATCATGAGCTGGTTAATTCATTGTCCCAATTTTGAATAAGATTTACCTAAATCCAGTTATTTCCTTTTCATATCATGAATAATTACAACTACTGTATCTATAAGAATTCAATACTTTTTAACTTTGGAAATAATAGTCTGAGACTGAGAGGCCAATTAAAAGGGTATTTTGAAGCCCAAAAAAGCTATATAACATATTTAAAGCCCATTTTATACAACAAATTCAAATCAAAGAAACGGTGCCGTTTTTACCGTTTACCTGAATCAAGCACACACACCAAAGTACCAAACACATCTACAATCTGAAACAGCATTCAAAAAAACAATGATATAAGAGCATTTGATATGGCATTTTGACTTATGCAAAGTGCTTTAGTTTCATCACAGTAGAGTAATATCTATAGCTCCAACCTAGAGATATCACAAAGGAGTCACCGTGGCAAAATCTTTCCTTTCCTCTGAAGAAGATCAAGATCTAATTTCTAGTATAAAACTGTAATGTTACAAGAAATATGCTTTACTTGGAAGAATGTTTCCTCTGGATATATACACAAATGTGTAGAGGACTTTTCATCAATCATCATCATCACCACAACAACCTAACTAATACTATTTGAATCTTGAACCCTTCTTCCCTTTACCATTTCCTTTGTCTCTTCCTTGTAATGCTGAAGCCCAGAAGAAGAGAGAGATCCAAATCAGTACTGAAAGAAAGATCTTTACACGGTCTTGAATCATCGATGCTACTCCCACAAGACCTATACAAAGAAATAAAAGAAAAGACTTTTTAAGTCAGTGAAACAAAATGTGAAACCAAACAACAACTGTGAATCCAATTGATTGTTTTTAAGACTTCATGGCTAAAGATCAATGACTAAACATGTAGAAAGCAAAATCAGAAGAAAAATGGTGAGTCTTTTGAATAACATCCACTAGTTGTAGAAAGAGGAGATGTCTAAATTCTTAATGATTAACAGTAAAAGTCTATAAATTGTCACAAAGATCAAAACTTTAGGCATAAATCGATGTATCAATGAATCAATACCAACAACAAATGATAGCAGTTAAACCATCTACATCCCCAATTCGAATTCCCTAATGCAATTTCATCGAATTTAAGAATGTTTGAAAACAAGAATTGGCAGTAAACAAAATCCGAACTCAGAGTTGAAACATTGAAGTTTTATGGGTGAGAACTAAACACGAACTTGTGAGCTCAGTCGTGTTTTTAGGCGGTGGTGGGTCAGGACTAGGCGGTGTTGGAGGGCCGAGAGGAGCGACGGCGATGCGTCGTACGCGGTCGGGAGTTGCGACGAGGAAAAGGGTCTGAGGATGAAGCCGAGACGACCAGAACGGTGAAAAGAGCGACGGAGATGGAAGAGAAAGGTTTTGACGGCAGCGATGGAGGTAAAGGTTGGAGCTTGAACCCGTGTTGGAAAACGTTGTCGCCATTTTCTTCACAAGATTTTTTTTTACCTTGTTTGTTTTCTCATTATTTTTATTTATTTTTATATATAAACCGATGGTCAAATGTATTTTTTTTCCCTTAATAATATTTTTTGAGTTTACAAATAAGTTGATAAACAAATAGAGAAATGCAACATAGAAAACACAAACAAATCATTAACGCTACAATTTTATATTAAAAAAAAAAAAAGTGTGATAAAATTTACAAAAAAAATAAACAAAGCAGGAAAAATATTTTTTTTTAAAAAAGATGAAATTTATAGTATTGTATAGCATACAAAATGAGCAAATAAATAATCACTAATACAAGATATACAAATAAAATTTTATACGGGGCAAAACCATGGACTTCTTGCTGAATATATCAATATCTTTGGCTATATTTTCCGCACACTAATTACGTGAATTAACTAATTAAAATACATTCAGTCTAGTGCATCATCATTATCTGGCTTCTTTTGTTTGCGCAAATTAACTATTTATTTCATTCGCATTACAAACATAAAAGGATACAACATTATTTGCTTACTCAACAGAAATCTCCTGAACATCCTTCTTTGGCTTCTCCGTCCTAGGAATCACAAGATTAAGCACACCATTCTTGAGCTCTGCTTTGATATCGTCAACCTTAGCATCATCAGGCAACGACAAGCTCGTGTTGTAGTAACCATAACTCTTTGAAGACCAGTACTCGTCTTCTTCAGGTGAACCTTTTTCTTCCTCCGCCTTGTGTTCTCCTTTAATCGTCAAGATTCCATCATCTACCGTGATCTTCACGTCATCTTTGGTTAGCCCTGGAACCTCGTATCTGAGTTTGTAACAGTCGTCTTGCTCTTTCACTTGACCCATTAGTTGTGATGGTCTAATGTTGAAGTTGTCGAAGATTCTGTTTATGTTCTCTGTTGCTTGCATCAGAGCATTTCCTAGAGTCGGAGGAAAGAACTCTGTTTTTTTCAAAGGAAAAAAAATTCAATTCAAGCAAAAATAGGGGTCTAAAATTTTAATTATATTCATGTGATTTAATGCAACGAAAATATAAATTTAAAATCTGAAGTATTTTTATGATTTTATAATTTCAAAACATCACAAAGGATCTTCTTAATTTTTTATGGAATATATTCCTACATTTAAATTTTGAATTATTTTTTATATGATTTAAAAAATTTTGACAATAATTTCAAAAACAGGCATAAAATAAATTGTGATATTATTGAAATTTTCTGCTAAATAGGTATTGCAGTAATGAACTAAAATGACAAACATACCATTTAGGGTGGGAACGAAGTAGCCATGATCGTCAGTGTTACGCCAGAGACTTTTCCGGCCACGTCTCCGGGGGAAATTCCGCCGAGGAGATTTCTTCTCAGACACACTCACTTCTGTGTTCTTTTTATCCTCTTGTTCACCAGCTGAAGTAGCCATGAATCTGTTTAGCTTCATTGGATTATGTCGATTTCCTACCAAACACCTTTCACAAGATTGACCCATCAGACTAGGAGACAGTTTTTGTTGAAGGTTTCTCAAAGCCAGACGAGCTAGAGCCATTTTTCGCAATTCGATAATCTTTTGTTTTCTTTGTTGTTTTGTCTTGAGTTTGAAAGAAAAAAGCCAATAATTGTTGGGTTTATAAAGATGGGATTAGGGTTTATGGTAAAGGTTTCTGAGAGGTGTGAGAAGTTTCCAAGAGTTTCTGGGTTAATTTGGAAATCTAAAACAGAGATGCTTCTTGTTTCTTCTACAAACTTTTTCTAGATAATCACAAGGTTCTTTTTTATTTTCCATATTTGTATTCTTTAAATGGAATTTATGAATAGGTTAATGAAGAAAATCATGACAAAAGTCCAACCGCCTTGAGCTAGAAATTCCTAGAAAAATCGAAAATCTCTCAAATTATTCTTGAAATTTGTTTTTTTTTTCTCAACCAAATTTTTTTTTTTTTTTGGATAAATTATTTCAACAAAACTACCATAAAAACTATAGACTTTGTTTTTGTATTAAAAATTTAATGTCCAAACAATTGATTCGATCCAAATCTCTAATGGTAACTCTATTGTAAGAGATTCAATATGTAAGCGTAAAACATTTTCTTATATTTTGTTTATAATTTGCTTATGATTTGCTCATATATATTTTTAGTTCCTTTATTCTCTTATTATGAAAATGTTTTCTTTATTCTTTTTTTTTTCTTTACTTTATTGAATAGTCATCAGCCTTTTAATTTTCTTTTCTTTCCTTGTTATCGGAATTCCTTTTCATTATTTTTTTGCTATTTCAAGTTTGCTTAATGAAATATATTTTTCTCTGAAAAAGTGTTATCTTGGTAAGTTGCCAAGTGAAACCATGCTGCACAACACATGGTGACAATTGACTTTGTGAACCACAAAGAGGCGATGATCAGAACCGCCGTGAGCACCTCGATCAACACGAGAAGCACTATGTTTTGCTCCTTTGTCGCCTACTTTGAGATGAGTATATACCACGGCGTGATGACGAACACCATCATCATCTACATCCTTGCGGGTCTTGAAGACCACGAAGAACGTACACTGTCCGCTTCTTTGATCTCAAGATCCACCTTATGACAAATCTGAAGATCGTCACCAAGGAGCAGGGGCGGATCTAGGTGCAAGCCTACATAGGCACGTGCCCCACACTACTATTGAAAATTTTCTGTTTTTAGTTATAATTATTCGATTGTTACATGGCAAAATCAGACTAATTTTCTCTCGTACCTAATAATAAAGTTTGATTCACTTCCTATCTTCTTTATTATTGTTCGTTTGTTTTACTTCATGTAATTATATTTTTTTACTTTGCACTAAACGCTACTTTTCAACAAAACTTTTTGTTTCCTTTTCTATAAAACCATTATCCCACCATCAATACTAACTGTATATTTAAATCCCTAAATTTAGTTTTCTTTTCTTTTCTTAATGGCTATATATGTGCAAGTAAAAATTTATACAAAATAGTCATTCTTATAATTTAAAAATAAAATTCAAAATCAATACAAAATTTATAAAAAATTAGTACATGTAACATTTTTAGCAATGTTATAGTACATATTTTATTTATAAATAATTAATGGTGCCCCAGGTAGAAAAAAGTTCTAGATCCGCCACTGCCAAGGAGTAGGCGCAACTACAGTTACCTAGCATGTCAAAGCCCATTTCCATATGGGGAAGCTCCACAAGTTGCTTGTGCGGCAAGCTCGAGCCGTCACAACAAAGACGCCAACTATCAAGATTCCTTACAAAGCGATCAAAAGATTCTTCCATGCCGATCTTGGCTTTCAAAGTTCGAATTCTTCCTTTGGTGGATACAGAGGCCTGCTCCTTAAGGTGAGGAACACAATCTTTGGCACCTCCACAGGTTGTATACCATGTTCTCCAACAACTCCGTGTCTTTAAATGTATCTGCAGATTAAATTAACAATTATACTCTTAATGATAATTTAACAAATAATCATAGTTATAATGACAATTTGATATAATTTTTAACAAATCTTAGGTTAGTTTCTATATTAGATACATCAACTTTCTATCGTCACATCATTTACCTTTAAAAATATAACCTAGGAGTTGTTACGTTACATTTAAAAATAAACACCAAAACTATGCAACATCAACTAAAAACAAGCCCCGTAAAAACATTAATATCTGCGGAGAACAAGAGATACACAAGGACGAGAAAAGTTCACCACACAAACAAAACTATATGACAACAAAACCCAAATAGTATCAATGATATTATATAAAAAATAAATAAAAACTTTGCCTATACAATTCAAAGTTTCAAAAAAAAGAGTAAAACTATCGTTCATTCCTCAGATACCACGGATTAGAACCTAGTTAACGGTAAACGAGCACAGAAATGTTATTCAATTTGGCGACGAAATTAGTTTGGAATTGGTCCGGAATCGAAACGAATCACTTGTCACAGTTCAAATGTTTTTATTTCTGGTTGAATTTGCAAAAAAAAAAAAAAAAAAAAACTCTAAAATACTTTTACTTTTCTCTCATTTCTCAAATTGTTAAACCATTATAACTTCTTTCTACAATGTATTGTACAAAATGACAAAAAGTTATAGCAATAGGTTGTGGGTTTAGTGGATTTAATGAGAACAACAACTTCACATAACTACTGGTTAACCAAATCGGTTTTGTGCTGCCAAATCATGTGTGTGAACCGGTTTTTAAACCAACTTCTATAGCTAAATAGTTTTTGCTTAGAAATTTTATTCTTAACTTTTTTCATTATTTTTGCAAATTGATTAACAAAATTTACTATTCAACAAGACGGTGTAATTAGTAAAACCGTGTCAATTTGAAAAATTATTATTTCATCTTAGTTATCAGAACTAAACTATAGATATAACCGGTTTGGGTACTCTATTCGTACGCTCAAATAACACAAGCTATTACTTAAAGGAATGAAATGAAAATAATAGTGCAGAGGCATGAACCATGCTTTGTTTGGGTTTGCAACTAGAATCTACTTTGTTTTCTATATAAAAACTAAAAACCGTTTCTAATTTTTTTTTCCTAAGAACAAAAATGGGGCCGGTTACGACAAAAAAAGCCATGTGTACAGAGTATTGTCGAATTATTAGCTTTTGGACCGACCTTATCCATCGTTGGACCGTTGTTGGCTTTTCAGTGCCTCAGTGTTTGTTTTTGTTTTAAATACTTCAAAAAATTAAAAGTTAGGTTATGGTTAGTACTTTAGTAGGTAAGCTTTTGTTGGGAAAAAAAGAAATAGCTAATTCGTATTTTTTTCTTCTCCCGTTGGTGTTAATTTGTTTTAAACGAGATTTTTATAAAGCAGACGTATAATCTGATAACTTTAAAAAAATCAGAGATTCAAATTTTATACATAGATGTTATGGTAATTTTGTTTCTTGATGAATCAGAACCAAACTAACTAAACATGGTAAAAGACGGTCGTCACTTTAACATATTTATAATTTAATGCATAAATCATAGAATATGAACCTGATTACTTTTATAATTTAACATATTTAAAAAAAAATACTTTAATCGAAAATATAAGTATTAAGCACGAGAAGTATAATTTTTGATGGACCGTCACGATGTTTTGGCGGTTAGCGATTTGGACCACCGGTTTGTTTCGTTTTACACACTACAGTGGCCCATTATGGTTTTGTTCCGGTTCACCAAACCCCATGTGGCGAGACTTTTTGAGTTAAAAATTGATATTGGTCAAAATATGGCTTCTTGACCATGAGTCGTCTTGTATTTTTCTGCCTCAATATATTTAAGAAACAGTCGATTTTTGTTAAGATTTAAGAATGCTAATCATCGATCATTCCACATGTCTCATGTGTTATCTGTTGAAGCCCTAATCCCTTATATATTAATAGAGAAGCATTTTATAAAATAAATCTTATTTTGATGTGTTATTAACTAAATTGCAATGCTGACATGTCGCTCTCAGAATGAATTTTCACCCATTTAAATTTTTACCCAAATTTTACTAGACTATTTACAGATTTTTCCATTAGTCTTAATACATATATATATATCATACAAATAACAAAAAAACGAAATTATAATTAAAAAGTAAATAATTAGGCAACTGATATCATATTTATATTTAACAACAAATCACGGGATCTTTGTTTATTATATTAATAATCTATTTTCAATAATTAAAAAGGAAAAAAATTGTGTTTATCTTATATTAATAAATTTTTATATTTATATTTTTCTTTATATACATTTATATAAATCTTCTCTAGCCGATGGGTAAAAAATCTTTTTATTTATATATATATATATATATATATATTTATGCTTATATTTAAATGATAAAAAATATACATTTTGTTCAAGAATCTCGAATTCAAAACTACAAAATCTCTAAATCTTTCATAAAATTTTATATCTATTGTACTTAAATAAATAAGATAATCTATTTTCTATACATGTTACGGATACTTAAAATCCGATTTTTTTGGAATGGTTCTAACTTTTCGAAGAAAAACATTATAACCACATTTATATATAAACCAAAATCTGGCCACATTATAACCTCTTTTTTTGTCAAACGGTCACATTATAACCATTTCGTAAATAATCCATTCATAATATAAGAATCTTATATTTGGAACACTACAAAATCTTAACTCGGAAACTATCAAATATCATCTTTGCTAAATTTTTAGATTTCTTATACTTAAATAATAATAAAAAAATTATTTTTTATACTACAAAATCTCGAAATCTTTAAAACATATGGAAAGACATATTGCCATAAATGGTAACATTTCGTCAATAATTTCTTTATCACGTTGAAGCATTATTCAAGGTTCAAATATTCCACGGGTAAAACGTATTCTTATATAAATAGTCCCAAGTTTGAATAAAACAAAAAAAAATTATTACATGTTACGTTTTACACAAACGGATTTTGGATCCCGGATAATAATTTTAATCATAATAATTTTACTTAAATCACTTCATCCCGTATATAGTGCGGGTTGTTATATAGTCTTTTTATATGGTAAATGTTATGCTAAAGACTAAAGTTGTATCACTGATTATGTGTGCATGTCATGTCGTTGGTCGAATATTCGGAATATATACATACAATCATGCTTACACTATTCTTCACTTTATGCAAAAGACTGATAGATGAAAACATACTAATAGTGTAACACTTTATCAAAATTTAATTACTCCATTTATTAAAGATTTTCACGACAAAAAAAAACAGTTTTTTTTTTTTTTTTTGCTATTTTTGTTTCCCACAAATTGGTAAGCGTAATACACTTGATCGTGAAGTTTTTTTATTTTTATTTTTAACTAGAATTTTATAAAAACAAACTTTTGTTAACCAATATTACCAACACCTTAATTTTTCAAAATAATCCTATTTTAATTTTTTTGTTTTCTTAACTATTAATACCAGTTAATTCTAATTGATTTCCCTGATTTTTTTTTTTTTTTGGACAAATATTTCCCTGATTTTTAACTCTTTAAACGTATACAAATCTGTTTTTGTTTGTTTTGGGAGAAAATTGATAATAATCACATATAAAAAAGAGTCTTTCAAATTTCTTACTTTTTATCTTGTCGCTAAAAACTCTATTTCACATATCAAACCTAAAATTACATACAGAGAATCATCCGGAAAGCTAATAATTATCTACAATAATTAATTATAATTACTTTTTCTTTTTTTTTTCTGCGTATTTTTTTGGTAAACGAAGAAAAAGAAAAAGTCAATAGGAGCACTGAATTCGATGATCTCTGTCTCTAAGAATCCCGTTGTACAAAGCAATCCGGTTAGCAGGCATGTCGTTTCTACAAACCGAACCGGTCTTCTTCGGTTTAATCATCTGTTCCGGTACAATTCTCCGAAGACGTTCCCTCTTCTTACGATACTCTTCACCGTTACCTTTCGTCTCTTTCACATTCTCTGCAAATTTCACTTTCTTCTTCTTATTCTTCCTCTGTCTCTTCTTTTCCTCTGCATCAAAAACTTTGTAAAAAATTTCGTAGCCGGAGATGATCGGAGAAGAAAGATCGGAAAAGGGTACCTGAAGAAAGACAAGAACGGAGGATTTCTTGATCTGATGTCTGATTTCCAGAGAATTGGCGGGAAATCGCAAGAAACAGAGCAGTACTTGAGAAAACCATGGCGGTTGCGATCACGACGCCATGAGAACAGCTTAGTATACAAGTCATGATGTTCGAAAGATAAAGATTCAGAAGAGAAAAAGAAAGTTGTTGATGAATGAATATGTGTGTGTGTGTTGAAGAAAAGAGAGCATGTGTTATGTTGCAGAGAGATTGTTCGTACTTGTACCACAAGAGAGTACTGTTTGAAGTTGAACGTTGAGAGATCTCTCTCTCTTGTCTATAAGAATTTAAGAAATTAAAAAAGTTTTTTTGAGAAATGAGTTTGTGAGAAATTAGCAAAAAAAGGTTTTTCTGACAATAATCAAAATGTTGGAAGTTATTTTGTGTGCTGTCCTCTGTTGGAAAAAGTAAAGAGAGAGTTGGTCTGTAAAAAGATTGGTGTTTGGTTTAAGTCTCACAGGCTCAAAAATCAAGTGGAAATGGGAAAGATCTTTCTTTCATAATTAAATCTTCACTGTCTTTAGTCTCTGACCATATTGCCCTATTTATAACTAGATTCAGTGTCTGGAGTTGTTATGAATAAGTGTAAAATAGATATAAATAATTTATCTTTGTTCAATTTTTTTTTTTTTATTATTTTTTGTCAACAAATATGATCAAATTTCTCACCATAATTAATTATTTACTTTGAGAGAAAAAAGAGAGTGAAAATCTTCACTGTCTTTAATTCTTTATTATGTGTACATTTGTGTGTGTATTATAAGTTATTGACAAATTAGACCCCTAATCAAAAAAAATTATTGATCAAATTTCTTTACTATTACATTACCATGCACCTCTGTTTTATTATAATGTTGTTTCATATTAAGAAAACAATTCAGTTCAAATTAGAAAATTTACTAAACCTAAACAATACTTACTTTGAAATAAAATTTAAATTATAAAACGGCACTTAATTTAAAAATGAGAAAATAATATCTTTCTTATTAATAGTTGTTCAATACTACATTTGGAGCAAATCATTTTGTTGTTCTTTTAAAAGGTAAGGAAATAACTTTAACTGATTACTCCCTCCGTTTTTTAATAAGTGATGTTTTAAGCTTTTAATTTTGTTATCAAATAGATGATGTTTTGAGTTTTCAATGCAAAATTAATTATTTTTTTTATATTGGTTTTGACGATTTATATTCTGTAAATTATTATTTTATTGGTTGATTAGATAATAAATGATGTTTTAGTTTAGAAAGAAACAAAAATTAAATGATTTCTTAATCTATCTGCATTCTCCTAAAACATCACTTATAAAAGAACGGAGGGAGTATTTAGTAATAACTTTATCATATCTATTAAATTAAAATTTTATGCACGTGGTTAAATTTTAACTATTCAATACCCCATCCGTTTTGTTTTAGTTGTCGTTTTAGAGTTAAAATTTTGTTTCATATTACTTATCGTTTGGTATTTACAATGCATATTTATGATCATTTTTCCAGTTTTATCCCTAGTTTTTAAGCTTATTAATTACTTATATCAAACAAAATAGAATATTAATTAGGCGTAAAACTAATTAGGGGTAAAATAATAAATTTAATTTTTATTTTATTTTGTGTGAAATCAACCAGAACGACAACTAAAACGAAACGGAAAGAGTAATTTTTTATATTTATTCAATTATATATCTCTCGCCACTTCTCTTCCATTTGTTTCGTCATAAACATATTATTGAAAAAAAAAAAAAAAACATATTATTGAAGAAAAGGGAAATTTGAAAAACACAGCTGAACAAACAATGCAAGATAATATTAGTAATAAATTATAGAGTATTTATGTTTGAAAGTTTTTTATTTTTGAAAAAAAAAAAGTTAGAAAGTTTTTTTTTTTTTTTTTTTTTGATAACAAAAAAAATGTTAGAAAGTTTGTTTATGCGTTTGATACAAACAACTTCTAAATAACTAATTAAAATCAAAATTTTGTTTTTGTTTATCGCTTTTAAAAAGAAAGTATGTCGTTTCTCTCTAGAGGCGATTTTCAGGGCGATTTCTTTCCGCCTTCACACCCTTTCGATTCTCCACGCCGGAGTGATTTTCCGACCATTAATTTCCGCTACTCTGTACGGAATATTGACGGCGGTTTCCTTCTGCCTGGTAGTTTCCATGGCAGTTACAATTCTCCTATGCTTTCGGAGGGTAACCACCCTCACAAACCGCCATGGAAACCTCTCTATAAATCCAATGATCCTCTTTCTTTGATTTCACATTCCAAATTCTCTCCTTTCTCAACTCTTATTGCATCAATCATGAGTGACAGACTTCGAAAATCCGTGCAAGACCTCAGTTTGGGCATCGATGACGAACCAGTGTCTTTGTCTGTTGAGTTCTGTTCTCAGGCGGCTTTGGTGAACCGTTTCTCGCTGGTGGTGACTACAGTCAACCCACGGAAGCAGAATCTTCGTGCCCTGATTGGACAGATGCCAAAGGTGTGGGGTTTCCCTAACTCGTGTGTTGGCCGGATTTTGGATAAAGGGAGGGTTCAATTCAAGTTTCAATCGGAGGAAGCGATGAATCTGGTTCTCCGACGTGGCCCTTGGTCGTTTAACGACTGGATGCTCTCAATCCACCGTTGGTATCCAAATATCTCTGAGGCAGAGATGAAAATCATACCATTTTGGGTCCAAATTCAGGGCATTCCGCTCTTGTACCTTACCAATGCAATGGCTAGGTGTGTTGGAAATAGGCTAGGGAATGTGGCTGAGGTTGACTTTGATGAGAATGCAAATCACCCTGGATTTGTAAGAGTCCAGATTAAGTGGAATATGGATGATCCATTGAGGTTTCAGAGGAATTTCCAGTTTGCTGCAGATGAAAACACTGTGATCAAGTTTCGCTTTGAGAGATTAAGGAACTTCTGTTCCAAATGTGGATCGCTGAAGCATGATGTGAAAGAATGCACCCTGTCGTTTGATGATGAGGATCCTGTTGAAGACAGTGATGATGAGGATGACAATGAAGATCAACAAGACGAGAATGGTGATAAGGACATGTCTGACACGGATACCCTTCAGACAGTGGATCCAGTTACTCTCATTCCTGGTCTTCAATCTGCATGCCGTGGTGTTGGAAATGGTAATCAACCAAACTCTGATGTCTCGTCCATCCCAAGCGCGTTTGAAGACACTGAACTCACCGCGGAGAGGCTCCGCTATCTTCATACTAAACTTGCTCGTGGTGTGGGAAATGGTTCTGCGCATGATGGTTTCTTGGAGAATCTTTCTGACAATGCACAACATCAGTTTGTGTTCATGAAAAGGAAGAGGGTTCAGTTTGAAGAAAGGTACCAGAGAGAAGAAGCAGCGGATGAGATGATGGTCCTGAGTCATCTCTGCAAGAAGGAAAGGAGGACTGAGTCTGCTGGTTCTTGCTCTTTGCACAATGGAATAGACAGAGGCGCGGGGGGCCCGGTTCCCCCAGAGGATCCAATATGAGGATATTCTCATGGAACTGCCAAGGCATCGGCGCCACTACTACCAAGTCTCGTCTGTTTCAGTTAGTTCGACTACATAAATTTGATATATTGTTTTTAGTCGAAACTCTTAATCCGTGTGATGTATTATGTAAATTATCGTGGGATTTAGGATACTCTAATGTAATAACACAGCCCCCCTGTGGAAGGAGTGGTGGCTTAGCTCTTATGTGGAAAAACAATGTTTCTTTATCCTTGCTTTCTAAGGATGAAAGACTCATTGATACATTTGTAACTATTAATCATAAGAGCTTCTACTTGTCTTGTGTGTATGGCCACCCAATTCAGAGTGAAAGATATATTCTTTGGGATAAGTTGGAACAACTTTCAGAAAATCGAGATGAAGAATGGATGCTAATCGGGGATTTTAATGAAATTCTTTCAAATGAGGAAAAAATTGGTGGACCTTTGAGAGAGGAGTGGACATTCAGAGATTTCAGAAACATGGTTTCTACATGTGATTTGATTGATATGCGATCAAGAGGAGATCGTTTCTCATGGGTGGGTGAAAGATACACACATACAATCAAATGTTGCTTGGATAGAGTGTTTATCAACTCGGCTTGGGCTGCCTCTTACCCGAATGCACAAACAGAATTCCTAGAATTCTCTGATTCTGATCACAGGCCAATTGTTGTTCACTCCAATGATTCAGGTCAGCAAAGATACAAACCTTTCCGATTTGACAAGCGTCTTATTGATATCCCGGAGTTTAAGAAAGTTGTTAGAGAAGGATGGAATACTAGAAATAATACCCAGGCCACAGTTATCACAGAACGTATACGTACATGTCGTCAAGCTATGTCAAGACTGAAGCACATGTCTAATATCAATGCGGAAGTGAGAATCAAAACACTTCAAGGACGTCTTAACAAAGCAATGGAGAGCATCGTACGCGGGGAGAGACAACAAATACCGTTTTTGCAGGAATCCTTATCTAGAGCTTATAGTGATGAAGAGAGATATTGGAAACAGAAGAGTCGAAATAAATGGATGAATGAAGGCGACCAGAACACAACCTTCTTCCATGCTTGTGCAAAAAATCGTTTTAGTCAAAACAGAATAATCTCCATCAATGATGAACATGGTAGATTGTTTACGGGAGATAAAGAAGTGGGAGATCATGCTCAGGATTTTTTCACCAATATCTACACAACAAATGGGGTTCAAGTTTCTCCTATTGATTTTGCAGATTTTCAAGCAACTGTTACTCCGAATATTAATTCTGATCTTACAAGAGAGTTTAGTGACAGTGAAATCTATGAAGCGATTAGCCTTATTGGAGACGACAAAGCACCGGGACCGGATGGCCTAACAGCTCGGTTCTACAAACAATGCTGGCATATAGTTGGTCAAGATGTTGTAAAGGAGGTCAGGAATTTTTTTGAAACATCGAAGATGACTCCGAGTATCAATTATACGAATCTGTGTCTGATCCCGAAGATAGACAATCCTACAACTTTGTCCGATTATAGACCAATAGCACTTTGTAATGTACTTTACAAAATTATTTCAAAGTGTCTCGTTGGTCGCTTGAAGACGCATCTGGATTCCATTGTTTCAGACTCACAGGCTGCATTCATACCGGGGCGAATGATTAATGATAATGTTATGATTGCACATGAGATAATGCATTCATTGAAGGTCAGGAAAAGGGTATCTCAAACATATATGGCGGTGAAAACAGATGTTAGTAAGGCGTATGACCGAGTGGAATGGGATTTTCTTGAAACGACGATGCGTCTCTTTGGTTTTTGTGATAAATGGGTTGGATGGATAATGGCCGAGGTCAAGTCGGTTCAGTTTTCAGTCCTGATTAATGGCACTCCGTATGGAAATATTAAACCAACTAGAGGAATAAGACAAGGGGATCCTTTGTCACCATACCTATTCATCTTGTGTGGGGATATTTTAAGTCATCTAATCAAGTCTAAAGCTGCGGATGGTGAGCTAAGGGGAGTCCGGATTGGGAATGGTGCACCGGCAATTACTCACTTGCAATTTGCAGACGATTGTTTATTTTTTTTGTCAAGCCAATGCGAAGAACTG